GGATCAGATGCTGTCTGCCAGGGTCACCTTTCATCTCCAGATCCTCTGGGCCACCAGGTGGGCAGAGCAGGGTGAGGACGTCCTCTGGTTGGGGACGGACACATTACCACGAGTCCAGCCCCAGGTGTGTATCCACTCGTGATCCACAGGCAGTATGTGCTCAGCAGGTGGTAGGTGTGTGCTCTGCCCAGGAAGGTTCACAGGGGACTGGGGTGACTGTCAAGAGGCCTCTCAAGGGTCCATCAAGCCCTCCCTCCCCAACCTTCCTGGTCTCACCTGTGGCCTTCACTCCTTACCATGCTGCCCTCTGTCCTCCCTGGGTCTCTCAAACCCACAGCCTTCTCCCCACCACAGCCATGCCTAGCACCTGGAGTGGGTCACACCTTGGCTTGCCCAAGCCCTGGTGTTGCTCAGGTCCTTCATGCCACCCTCAGGGGCCTTCTCTGACCTCCCAGACAATGCCCTCTCTTCAACATCAGGCTCCTGCACCTCTTTTCCAAGCACACAACAACCTTGTGTACTTGACATCTGTCTGCCCCGTCAACTGTGGGCCCCAGAAGCAGGGGCTGTCACATAGCAAGTTGCAAGGATATGTCAGTTTCCTCTGCACTTCTAGGTCAGTGACCCTCCTCCCTAGGATGGCTCTGTTACCCCCTAATCCTCCAAAATAAGGAATGGGACCACTAGAATGTATCCCAAAGTGTTTAGGGGAAGACACCGCTTAATAGTGAGGAGCGGGCTGTGTCGCATGGGAAGGTCCAGGCCTGACACAGAGAAGAGCTCTCAGAGGCCAAGGCCAAGGCCAATTCCAAGCTCACTCGGGGGTGAGCATGTGCTGGGAGATGAACAGGGTCTGATGTCAGGCAAAGAGCCTGACAAGGATATGGGTAGCACTCACCTAAAACCTGCCCCCCAGGCTGCCCCCTGGGCTCTGGGCAGAGGCTCACGCCCTGGCCCTCTACCCCACTCTGGATGGAGAAAACCTCCCAGCCCCCAAGGCTGCACCATCCCAAAGGCTTGGCTGTCCGTGTCCAGGAAGAAGGAGGACTGCACGCTCTTCAGGTGAGCTCCCCAAGGGCTTCCCAGGCTTTGTCTCAACCCTCACCGCAGCCTCCCCAGGAAGGTGAGGCTGCTGCTGGCCCCATTTTACAGATGAGGAAGTAGCAGTTGGCCGAGGCTGAAGAAACACACTCAAGGCTGCGGCGCTTGCCAGTGGCAGAGCTGGGCTTCCCCTCTGCAGAGCCACCTCGCACCCCTCTCTCTGTATTCCCACACTCTTGCCCTCCCCAAGGCCGGGGACCAGAGGTGGGGGGCTCACCTGCCAGCCTGCCTGTTGCAAGACACCCTGCTCTTGGCTTTGGAGGAGAGTTAGGGGTATGCAGCAGGGGGCAGGCAGAGGGGACAGAGGGACAGCAGAGAGGCCTCTTTGGCCTAGGGCACCAGGCATCTGGCTGGAATGTTGTGAGGTCCACGAACACTCCTCCGTCTACACTAACCCCAAGATGATCTCATCCCTCACGGCCTTAAATCCCATATCTGTCTACACCAACGGCTTCCAAATTTATATTTCCAGCCTTCTCTGCGCCCAGCTCCTATACACCTCCAGGAGATGTGTAATGGGTACCTCAGGCTCAAATACTCATCTCCCCTGTCCCACAGATCTGTTCCTCCCACATTTCCCCACTCCACTAATGCCGCCAGCCGCCCACGCTGGAGCATGGGTCAGACCCTGAAGTTGCTCCTGACTCCTCTCTGCCTCCTCCATGTCTGTCCATTCACCAGTGGATGCCTCCAAGACAGACACTGACCTGTCATTCTCCTCACTACAGCTCTACCTCTGTGACCCTTTGCTGGCTGCAGTTGCCTCCCCAGCACCCTCCTGTCTTCTCTCTTTCCCCACTCCGGGTCACACACTTGCCAGAAATGGTTTGTCACTCCTCAATTTAAAAGCATCTAAAAATAATAAAATGAAACCCAAACGCCTCACCTCAATGAAAGACTTTTGTAGATCTAGTCTCTGCCTACCTGTCATACCATCTCTCCTGGATGGGCAAACACCAGCCACAGTGGTGCCTTTCTGTGCTTTAAACTGCACCAAATTCTCTCCTGCCCCAGGGCCTTTGCATTTGATATTTCCTGGCCTGGAATTTACCTCCTCCAGCTACTGACAAGGCTTGTCATTTGCTCAGTTCTCCCCCAAGTGCCACCTCCTTCTAGAGACCTTTTCTGCCCTCCCTGTAGAAAGCGGGCCTTCTCTCCCCTGACACTGGCCACATGCTCCAATGTTTTAGCTTCTCCCTCTGGAATGCAGAGATTTGTGTTTTCCTACCACAGAATCACCAAGTGAATCACCGCGGCCCTCCATCAATGTTTGCTAGATGGCTGAATGAACCAGCCTCAGTTTTCCCTTCTGTACAGGGAAAAAACAGCATAGACTGTCCTAGCAGGATCCTGAGCAGCTGCTGGCCGCCTAGATGCAGAGCTGAGGCAGGTCCTCCTGGGTGCTTGGAAGCCCAGGTTGGCCTGGATTAGCATTTCCACTTCCTCTCCATGGGGGGTTGGTTCCTGGGAAGTCCCAAGAGGCACAGGTGCTGTTACCATGCTCACAGGTCTGGGGACCCAACCCTAGGTGGAGAGGTCGGAAGCCCATAAGGGAGCAGGCAGGACTGGCTGCTCCCCGTTTCTCCTGAGCCTCAGTTTTCCTGCCTGTGGTCCAGCCCTGCATACCTCACTAGCTTTGAGAGGATCAATATGGCCTCCCACCCGCTCCTCCACGTTGGGAGGAGTCTCCTCCTTTGCCCTGGGCTTCCATCTGGACACCCTCCACATCCTCCTGTGGGGACCATGGTCAAGGAGTTGGGGTGCAGAGAGCAGCAGGAGGGCTCCGACTTCCTGAGGCAGAGTCCACAGCTTGTCTGCAAACAGCTGTGGAAATCTGCTGCGGCCCAGGGTGGCCTGCTCCACTGTGAGCTCCAAGAGGGCAGGAGCTGGCACGTGCAGACTCCCAGCCTAAGGACTATCTATGCCTCTCCTCGGCCCCCCAACATGTTTACCAATGGGTTTTTACATCCTCTCGGGAAGGGAAGGCAGGGCAGCAGCTGTTAGCGTTCCCATCCTGCAGATGGAGAAAATGGGGGTCTACACACCGGCACAACCCCACCTGGCTCTCAGAGGCTGTGCAGGGTTGACATCATGAACAGGAGCTTTGGGGTCTGACAAGTACTGCCCTTCCTGAATGTGTGACCTTGGGCAAGGCATCTATGTGAACCCTAGAGTCTCAGTTTCCCATCTGTAGTGTGGGCATCACTGTGTCTGCCTTGAGGGGCTGCTGTGAGCCTGTGAGGGACTCAGCAGGCTGAGTGGGGCCTGTGGCAGAGGCTCTGTGGACAGAAGCAGAAGTCCCCAGTCTCTGCACCCCCTGATAAGAGCACACAACCTGGCTCAGAGCAGTTCAGCCAACGTTCAGTGCATGTAGAGGGAGGAATGTGATTTATACACTGTAAAGTGCTGTGCATCCTTGGAGCCACTGTCTCCAGGGTCCCCCTCCACCCCCTAGAGCTGAATGCTGCACCCTGGGGAAGGGGTCCATCTGTGTGTCTCTGCAGCTCTGTAGTCACATGATCCAGAGGGGTGCTCTGCGGGAGCCAGGAGGCCTTCCTCTCTGCTGACCAGATGGGCACAGCCACCCCCACATCTCACAGACACATCACTCCACTCAGATCTGCCACCCCCAGGGTGATTGGCAGTGAGCTTCCTAGGGTTTCTGGGGGGCAGGAACAGCGGTCCAGTCCAACTGTCATATTAGACACGGGGAAACTAAGATTCAGCAAAGACAAGTGATCTGCCTGGGGTTTCCCAGCTGAACCTGGCTTGGACCCTGGATCATGCCACAGAACTGCCATCCCTCTGGGAGGAGGGGCTCCTGCCTCCTTCTCTCTCATGCCAGTCGTTTCTTTAGCCTTGAAGGTCATGGCAAGGAAGTAAGGGTGTCTGGAGAGGTGAAGGAGGGAGATGATGCAGGGGGACTCTCCAGCCTCCTTCCTCAGCTCCCCACCCTCCTCCAGCACCCACAGATCCTCTCTGCCCCTTCTCAGCACCAGAAAAACCATCCCTTTTTTAGAGGGAGTCTGGAGGTCACGACCCTGCCTGCTCCCCAAAGCCCAGCACCCTTTGTCTTTGCCGCTGTTCCCCACTCTGCCACCTGGCCCTCCCGGCGCCTTGTGGGATCAGAGGCGGGAGGGGGATTAGGTTCTGCGAATGGCTCCCCCCTCCCCGCCATCCTGCCTCCCTGTCTTAGTCATCTTTCCTTCCGCCGCCTTCTCTCTCCACCACACAATCCCTGGGCCAGGCCAAGAGCAGGACGACACTGACAGGCGCCCCCCACCCAGGGGAGGCGGCGAGGCCAGGGGCCGGCTGCTCAGAAAAGGATCAGAAGCGGTTTCTCCTCCCCCCTTCCTTGCCTCATCCCGCAGCCCGCGCCTCCCCCTGCGCGGCGCTGCGCACGGATGGCGGCGGGAGCCGCAGAGGTGTGTGTGCGTGTGTCAGGGGGGAGCTGTGCCTGGTCCCCGATGCCCACGGAGCTGTGTCCTCTTCCAGGGGCGGGGAGGGGGGCTGCTCCCGGTCATGGCCCACAGAGGCAAGGTGGGAAGGGGACACTGCCCCGAGGGTGCTGCTACCCTCTCCAAGGGACACCCAGAGCCGAAGGGAGGCGCTGAGTAATGCGGATCCCTTAGGTACCCTTATTGGGAACGGGGCGGGGGAAGACTTTTGCCAGGGTCTCCATGAAGGATGGGAAGCAGGAGGAGGCACGATTCCGTGGCCGGCGGCTGGACGATGACGGAAAGACTATTTGGGGGCGCTGGTGGAGGAGGAGGGCCGCCTCGCTCCCGCAGGGGTGGGGGGCGCGCCGTCCGCGGACGCAGCGCGGGGGACTGGGAGGTCGCAGCGCCGTCGGAGCCCAGGGCACCCGGGGGTCCGCGCTCGGGGGGCGCCGTTCCTACCTGCCTACGAAATTCTCGAGCACAGAGCTCTTGCCGGCGCTCTGGCCGCCCACCACGGCGATCTGCGGCAGGTCGAGGTCTGCGTTCTGGCCGATGGCGGAGAAGGCGTCCTGCAGCCGGTTGACCAGCGGGATGAGATCCTCCATGCCGCGGTTGCCCATGGTTGCGGCGGGCCCGGAGGGCTGCGATCCGCCCGCCGCTCCTGCTCCGGCTCCCGGCTCCCGCTCAGCCGCTGCAGCCTTGCGCCCCGACTGCGTGCGCCGCGGATCCCCCCGCCCCTCCGGACCCGGAGCGGAGCGCCTCTCTCAGTCAACGCCAGAGGGCGCGCGCGGCCCCGCGGGCTTGCGGCCGTGCGCAGGTGCTACCCGGGGCGCTCTGGGTATTGTAGTTTTCTCCTTCTGCGCTTTCTTGGGCGTTTTTACCAGCGTCTGGAGGGTGTGTGGGGGACTGGGGAGGCGCGGATGATGCACAGAAGGTATCATTTATGGTAACAGGTCTAGCTCTGGGCTCTTGGTCGGTGGTCATTGCTTCCTCACTCCTCTTACATGTGGGGAAACTGAGGCCTGGAGAAGCGATCCAGCACTTCCAAGGTCACAGTCTCCTGACCCAGAGTTCTCTCGACCTCATTGCCTTCCACTCTAGGTTCTGACACTAATCTCCAGCATGTCCCTTCCTGTCTTTGGGCCTCAGTTTCCTTGTTTCTAGAAGGAGAAAGATAGAACATTAATTTAACAAATATTTGAGCACCCACTGTAAGCCAAGCCCCATGCCAGAGATGGAGATACAGCACTGAAAAAGATAGCCAAGGTCTCCATCTTCATAGGTCTTACATACAGGAGATGGGATAGGTGGTAAATGAATCAGCAGATAAATGAAATAGTAAATGCAGAATTTGTTTCTAGTGGGAGCAATGGGGGAAGTTAAAAGGAAGTGTGCAGAGATATCTGTGGGTGTGGAAAGTCCACTTCAGCCTGGGAGGACTCTGGGTTCTCTGAAGAAAGGACCTTTGAGACGTGACGTCATGGATGAACAGGAGCCACAGGCAGACCAGGGAGAGAATGCAGATAGAATGCAGGCGAGAGCAGAGGCCCTTCTTGAGAGTGCTGGGAGTTCTTTGCCCTAACCCTTCAGCATGGAGGTAAAATAGAGGGATTCGAATCCAGGGTCCCTACAACCCCACTCTGCTTACTTCACACAGGGAGGATATGGAGTCCCACGCTACTGTTTTGTTTTGTTTTGTTTTTTAATTCATCTTAGACGATTTCTCTTCTCCCACACTACTGTTTAAGGAACCAAATTAAGACTCCCCAAGAGGAGGCAGTGGCCGGTGAGTTAGAGACGACTTTTTCTTTTTCTTTCTTTCTTTCCTTTTTCTTTTTGGCAAAACTGGGATTTGAACTCAGGGCCTCATATTTGTTAGGCAGGTGCTCTACCACTCTGCCAGCCCTATTTTGTGCTGTGTATTTTTCGAGATAGAGTCTCGTGAACTGTTTGCCTGGGCTGGCTTCGAACCGCGATCCTCCTGATCCCCACGTAGCTAGGATTACAAGTAGGGGCCACTGGCACCTGGCTGAGACTTCATTTTTCATTCGTTGAATGCATGTTTAGTGAGCCAGGCACTGTGCTAGACCCCAGAGATAAAGCAGTAAGAAAGATGGACGAAGTTCTTGCCTATGTGTGGTGTGTAGTCTCATAGAAAAAAGAGGGACAGCATGCCACTAAGGCAATACACACAGTCCCATGAGCTAGTGATGAGCAAGTGGGGGGGTGTGCAGCAGTAGTGTGACTACTGTGCAGAGGGTGGCTGGAGAACTGTCTGAAAAGGCGACGCTCGAGCTGACTTGAAGCAAGTGAGGGGAGGAGTGCTCGCTTCGGCAGCACATATACTAAAATTGGAACGATACAGAGAAGATTAGCATGGCCCCTGTGCAAGGATGACGTGCAAATTCGTGAAGTGTTCCATATAAAAAAAAAAGTGAGGGGAGGAAACCAGCAGACCCTATGCCTGCTAGCACGAGGGTGTGGAGTTGGGCCATATGGTCAACGTCCTCCCTCTCTGCGCCTCAGTTATCTAATCTGGATAATGGGCTTACTGAACTATCAGAATACCTTGTAGGACATGGCCCAGGCCTGGGGCTCCAAGGCCTTCATTAAGCCTCACTTGTAAGGATGTCAGTGATGACAGCTCTCCACACAGCAGGGGCGTGGACTCTACATGCCTCCATCCTGAGCAACTGCTCAAGGTCAGTCCCTTATGCTCTGAGGATCAGAGAGGGCAGGGATGGCTCTCAGACAAGAGCACCATCAATCTGGGGAAGGGGCGCAGTTTACAGATGTCTGCCTGGGGAGACACCATCACTATTGGGCTTTGTTGCTATTTTTGTTTTGTGGTCCTGGGGTTTGAACTCAGGGCCTACACCTTAAGCCATTCCACTAGCCCTTTTTTGTGATGGGTATTTTCGAGATAGGGTCTTGTGGAACTATTTCCCTGGGATGGCTTCAAACTCCTGATCTCTGCTTCCCGAGTAGCTAGGATTACAGGTGTGAGTCACCAACGCCCTCTGTTTTTATTGTTTTCCATCTTTTTTTTCCCTGTAATGAAACTTTTTGTAAAAAAATTCAAACTGTATACAAGTATTTGAAAGCCTTGGGTTTTTCTCCTACCTAGAAATCACCATTTTTTACAGCTCAGAGCTTATTCTGTGGTTTTGCTCCTCCCCGGCATGTATTTGTTTTGTTCTATTTTTTATACAAATTCAATTATGCTGAACAGGATGGAGATGCAGAATTTTGGGCCTCACCCACGACCTTCTGTATCACAACCTGACCTCCAGGAGTTTCCTGTGCACAGCAGACTTGGAGAAGCTCTGGTATATATTATCTGTAACTAGCTCTTTAGTTACAGCCTATCTCAGACATCTTCCAATGCAAAAGAACAGCGAGATCAGCTGCATTCCTTACTCGTGGCTGCATAGTTTTCCACGATTCAGTGGTGACCTGGTTTTTCTCCCTGGTCTGCTAAAAATGGCTGTGTTAGATGTGAAGAATGGATGGATAGAATGCTCCTGGGGAGGGGGGGATGTGAAGGAGGGATAATGTGGGCAGAGGAACCTGCATAAAGGTATGAAGTCTGAAAGGGAACAAACCCTGAAGTCGGCCCTGGCCTCATTTTCCCTGCTGGGCGTGGTAAGGGCTGCTATAGAGGCTCTTCAGGGCTCAGAAGCTTGGTGCCCTGAGGGCCAATTGAATTAAATGAGGGTCTTAGAAATGGCTCTCACCTCTGCTTTGAGCACAGAGGGAGCAAATTTTGGGAGCTTGCACCAATGATCAAATTATTTACAGGAACATTCACATTCATGGCACTTGCTCCTGGCCAGGAGATTCCACCTGCAGTGTCTCCTGACCCTCGGAAAGGAGAGGTTTTATTAGCTCACTTTGACAGATGAAGAAACTGAGGCAGACAGAGGTTAATGAAGAATGTGTCCAAGATCACAAAGCAAGAAATGATGGAGTCAAGATGTGGATGGAGATTGTGACTCAGAGCTTCTCCATTTTAACTTGTATGATGTCACCTCTACAAATCTACGAAATTTGGAGGAGAGTACTAGGGTTTGAACTCAGGGCCTCTACTACTTGAGCTGTGTCCCCAGCTTTTTTTGCTTTAGTTTGGTTTTCAGGTAGGGCCTCATGCTTTGGCTCACGCAAGTCTCAGACCTCAATCCTCCTATTTCCACCTCCTGAGTAGCTGGGATTACAGGTGTGTACAACCACACCAGGTCAAATCTATGTATTTTTTTTGGCAGTACAAGGGCCTCACACTTGCCAAGTTGATGCTCTACCACTTGAACCATACCCCCAATTCTTTTTGCTTTAGTTATTTTTCACATAGGGTCTCTCTCTCTTTCTTCTTTTTTTCTTTTTCCCACTCAGCCTTGGACCTTTTTCTACCTACAGCTCCTTTGTAGCTAAGACTGTAGATGTAAGCCAAATCCCTAGTTTTTTTGTTGAGATGAGGTCTTGCTAACCTTTTGCCTGGTGGTTGGCTTAGAACTTCGATCCTCCCCATCTCCACCTCCCAAATAGCTGAGATTACAGGTGTGAGCCTCCACATCCGGCCCTCAAATCTATGTATATTAAATGCACATAAAATTAAGCCTGGCGCTGGTGGCTCACACCTATAATCCTAACTACTCAGGAGGCAGCGATCAGGAGAATTGCAGTTCAAAGCCAGCCCCTGGTAAATAGTTTGGGAACCCTGTATCAAAAAAGCCCATCACAAAAAAGAATTGGTGGAGTGGCTCAAGCAATAAAAGTGTCTGCCTTGCAAGTGTGAGTTCAAACCCCAGTCAAAAAATTACATAAATTTACACACTGGTGCCTTCTGATAATGTTTCTGATGTGTACATAGCAGGTGCTCAAACAATGCCAGCTGATTGAAGCAGTGGCTTTGTAATACAGCTCCCGGGCAAGCCGTTCCGTTGGGTCTCTGCATCTTCAGATCCGTCCATTCCTCACGTATTCTCCCACAGGTATGGGCCAGAAACTACTTCGTGCGGACCTCATGCAAGACACGAGGATGAAGAGTTGCTGAAATGCAGGGCTCGTCCTTCTAGAACCAGGACTCACAGGGAGCGGCAGACATGCTCAGCAGAACAGATGCACAGAACAAAGGTGCAGGCCTGGCCTGGGACAGGTCACTGATGGGGAAGCTGATAGCAGGCTGGGGCATGCCCAGTGCCCTTCTTTATGAGACTGGGGGCTGGGCACAAACCAAGTAGTCCTAGGGGTTTGGGGCTGGTGGTCTTGGAATGCCTAAGGTACTGACTATGCCATGTGCACGGTTTTTTTTTTTTTGAGTGGGAGTGGGATTTGAACTCAGGATTTTATGCTTGCAAAGCAGGTCCTCTTCTCCTTGAGCCATGCCTCCTGTCCATTTTGCTGTGGTTATTTTGGAAATGGGGTCTCACGAACTATTTGCTTGGGCTGGCCTTGAACCTCAATCCTCTTGATCTCGGACTCCCAAGTAGCTAGATTAGAGGCGTAAGCCACCTGCCCCTGACTCCTTGGTGAGCTTCAAAGCCAGACCACCTGGTGTTCACATCCCACCTCGTCCACCTTCAAACCTGATGACCTTGAGCAAGTCACATCCCCTCCCTGAGCCTCAGTTTCTTCATCTGTATAAGGGGGACAACAACAGAGCCTAACACAGCAGTTGTTTAGGTGAAGCAATGAGACAGCGGAATCGAGATAGCTCCACTAACTGTGGCTATGATCGGCATCAGCACTGTACCAAGGAAAGAGACTTCTTCAGTCTCGTGCAGGTGGCACAGGTATGGCTGGGGGTGGTAATGAGCTAGGGGGCCTGTAATCCACAAGTCAATGCTGTCCAGCAGAGATGGTCAAAGGAGGGGACCTGCCCTGGATCATCCCAGAAGGAAAGGACAGCAATGAGGCTGTGCCATGCTGTTTGTCCCTAGTCCTGTCTTCTGTCTCTCTCACCCCATTTTTATTTATAGGAAGAGGCACAGGTGGGCGACAGTCACCAGGGAGCCACTGGGGAGACCACGTGATAAGCATATGGTCTCATAGTTTTCTCTGTCTCTTGCCTGATTTGGAGCTGTTGCTGAGCACAGCTTGTTCCTGGGAATTCTGAGCTGGGTGTGTGGTTGTGGAGCCCACCTCACTGTCTGTGTTGGTGGTATGTCTGGCTGGGGCCATGTCTGAACAGAGATGGATGCAGATGCGAGGAGGGAAGAGCCAGGAACACAAACCTGAGGGAGGACAGAGGATTTAATTGCATCCTGAAGTCATTCATGTATTCCTTTCATTGATCTTCATCAGGCAACTCTGTGATGTGCAGGGCTGAGCTGGATTCAAGGACATTGGGGTCACCCAGCAGCTGCTTTTTTGCCATCAAGGGGCACACAACATCATTAAGGACAGAAATAATTCAAGGTTACAAAGTAAAGATGCCGTAATCAACAGCTGCTTAGAATATGCACTCAGAGCAAGGCATGGCGATGCATGTCTGTAATCTCAGCACCCTGGAGGATGAGGCAGGAGGATTACAAATTCAAGGGCTACATACTGTGTCTCCAAAAGACAAGACAAATGAAAGATAGTGTATGGGAGAAATTGTGAAGTAGCCAGTGTAGAAACTGCAAACGCTGGTGGAGAAACCAGCAAAAAACAGGACACAATGTCAGGGTTCAGGAATTAGAGACACTGGAGTGGCTCAAGGAATTAGAGACACTAGAGTACCTGCCTAGCAAGGGTGAGGCTCTGAGTTCAAACTCCAGTAGCACCAAAAAAATTTTAAAAAACAAAAGGAATTAGAGACAGTGACCCCATCTTGAGTTGAAAATCTCAGGGTAAAGATGTCAGCTCCTCTCCAACTTAAACACCTTGAATATAGTATCTGTCAAAATTATGATGGGGGTCTTCCCAGCAAGTGCAAGACCTTGAGTTCAACTCAAAGTACTGCCAAAAAATTTGTGAATGTGGAAAAGACAATTAGGACAAAATACTACAGAAAGGCAACTTAAAAAAATTCTGATGGGATTTGGAGGCAAAAATTTGACAAAATTCTTTAATTCACCTGAAAAAAATAAATGACTGGGATTTGGCTCTGTGTGTGTGTGTATGTGTGTATGTTGCTGGGGATTAAATTCAGGGACTTCTGAATGCTAGGCAAGCATTGTACCACTGAGCTACACCCCCAGCCCAAGAATTTAAAAAAAAAAAAGAGTACCAATGTCAGGGGTGTCTACCATCTGGCACTAAAAAATATTCCAGAACTATGATTGCCAATGGCATATGGTACTCTCCTGAGAAGAGACAGGTGGACCTCAGAACAGAATAGTTCTGGACACAGATCCACATGAGTTATAGGAAGTTTTTTTTTTTTTTTTTTTTTGGTGGCAGTGGGGTTTGAACTCAGGGCCTCACGCTTGCTAGGCAGGCACTTTTACCACTTGAGCCACTCCACCAGCCCTTCTTTGTGATGTTTTGTTTTTGTTTTTAAGATAGGGTTTCAAGAATTATTTGCTTGAGCTAGCTTCGAATTGTGATCCTCCTGATCTCTGGCTCCTGAGTACCTACGATTACAGGCATGAGCCACCTGTTAGCAAATATAGAAATTTAAGAGGCATCTCAAGCCAAAAACAAGAAAAAGGCCTCAGAGTGTTTCTGCAGCCTCAGACTTTATCGGGAGTGCACAGAGGCAGAGCCTCTGTTCTTTCTCCGAAGATATTCTTTGGGAGTCTTTCCCTGAAAGAGGTCAATTAAAAGCAATTATCCCTGATTAATGTACCCAGAGTGTTCTCATCCACTATCTCATCTGGTCTTCAAGCCTGCAGCATGATATCATACACATTAAAAAAACAAAAAAACAAAGCAGCTGGTGCCGGTGGCTCACGCCTGTAATCCTAGCTACTCAGGAGGCAGAGATCAGGAGGATGGCAGTTTGAATCCAGCCCAGGCAAATAGCTCTCAAGATCCTATCTCAAAACAACCCATCACAAAAATAGGGCTGGTGGAGTGGCTCAAGGTGAAGGCCCTGAGTTCAAGCCCCAGTACTGCAAAAAACAAACAAACAAAAACCAAAGCAGTCACTCTATCCCCATGATAAAATTATCCAAACTCACAGTTGCAAATGAGGAGAAGGGAAGTGGAATTCCCCATGAGCTCACTACACACGGATACTTACTTTTCCCCAAACTGAGATCATAATGTGTGTGCAGCTTTGTGACCTGCTGAGTTCACACCACATCATAGTGTTTAAATTCCCTTTGAAAACAATGTCTGATGCTGTGTGTTACACCATGATTTATTTAGCTATTCCCCTAAAGTGGGTTGTTTTCCCAGACAGCTATTATAAACGTTTCCTGGAGGAACTGGCTGGCTTTTAAGTCTCTTTTCCGATGGTTTTCTTGGGCTAGATTCCTACCAGGGGATTCCCAGGTCAAAGGACAGGCCGCGGTCTAGAGCCTTGAAAGATCTGCACATTGCTTTCCAGAAAGATGAGCAGAGACAGGAAGCTCACTGGCCCAGGCTCCCCTACCTTCTCAGGCACCAGCATTATTTTTAGTGTTTTCACTTTGGCAATTTGCGAAGCTGGCTGTGTGCCAGTGCCAATGCTAAGCGTTATGTAATGTCATCCTCATACCCCACTGGGAGGGGTCATCCATTTTGCAGACGGAGGAAACAGCTGAAAGGACTCTCCTGTCCCCCAGGGTCTCCAAGCTTGAAGGCAGGGGAGACCAGATTCGACCTTGGACTTCAACGCAGTCATCCTAACCAGGGTGCCCACGTGCTTCCACCTGGCTGGCAGCTGGGCGATCTTGACGTTCCCCTTCTCTCTGCCTTGTACCTGGGGTCTCGCCAGAGTGCGTTTTTCAATCCGCTGATTTGATGCTGTCGCTTGGGGTTTCTACCCACTTCCTAGAGCCCCCGTCCTTCAGGGATGAAGCCCATTATCTCCCTAGCCCAGCGTTCAAAGTCACCTTCCGGAGTGCATTTCCAACCATGGGCGCGGACGTCCCTCCAGCCCGGGTCCCCACCCCCCGCACTGAGCCGCTGTCGCGCCTTAGGTCCCAGCAGGACTGACCCAGGTCGTTAGACACCTCGGTGCCGCCGCGGGCTGCGGTAGAACCTGTCCATAGCCCGGGACAGCGCTTGTCACCTGACTGCTGTGATTCGTGACGCCGTCTGACTGCCACCTTCCGCCTCGGGTCTGCTGTCTCTAGCGCCACCATGCGCCCTACTGGTGCTGTGAGCGCAAAGCGAGCAGATCGCCCAGGGCGGCGACGACTTCAAGCCACAGGCAAGGGAAAAGGAACTGCTACTTAGTAACCAAGGATTGTTGGCGCGGCCGGGGTGGGGTCAAAGTGGTCATTAAGGGGGTTCTTGTGGGCAGGACCTTTTTAGGGGCAGGTAAGGGGGCAAGGCCGTTTTTATAACGCCTCACAGCCTCCCGGGCCAAGTCTGAAAAGCAGACACTTTCTATCTGGCTCCTTTCATCTCCTTCTAGGACAAACTCCAGCGGGTCTCTGCGACCTTGGCCGCCCTCTCGCAGGTCTAGGTCGTCGAATGTGCAGCGGCCGGCTGCACGACGCCCCCTCCCATTCCAGCCCCGCGCGGGCTCGGGATCGCGGGACAGTGGCGGCCTCAGCGAGGTCGGTTGGGGACTGTCCTCCCGTAAGTCCCTTTCCATGTCCCCGCCAGACGACAGACTCCTCTGGGCGACAGATGGCCCTGGGACTCAAAACCACCCTTTCCCAATGCCGAGGACTCGGGATGGAGGGTCTACCCTGTCCAGCGCCTTCTCTCACCCGGGGGTCGCGCCGGCAGCTGCCCCGCCACCAGGTGAGCGGCCGCCGCGGCCGCAGCGTGACCCGTGCGCGTGGCGAGTTCTAGGGGGGCGGGGGGCCGCACCGCGACCTCCAGTCCTCCAGAGGGCGCTGTCCGCGCCCGGCCCGCAGACGGGCCTTCCGAGTGTCCAGGCCCCAGCCGAGTCTCGGGGAGCCCCGGAGCCCGCGAGCCAGAGCCACTCGGCCCGCGCGTGGCAGGCGCACCGCCCGCCCTTCCCCTGCGGCGACGCGATTACTGAGGGGTGCGGGGGTGCGGGAGGGAGGCTGCGCGGTGCTCCGCCGCGAAAGCTACGCAGGGAGGCGAGGTGCGGGGATGGGGGCGGGGGAGGGTGGACTGCAGGGTCAGTAGCAACTTGCATGGGGGCTGCAGACTTCGCGGGGGGGGTGGGCGGGGTCACGAGATCGGATGGGTCAGCTTGGCTGTTTCTGCGGAGGAAAAGGGGTGCGGGGGGGGTGAGGTTAGTGTGGGAAGAAGCTTTGCCCCCCCCAGGGTTCACGGAGGACAGTCTAGGGGCAGGTGCTGATGTTATTGACATGATACAGACACAAGGGAGGGGTTGGCAGGATCAAAAAGGGGCGTGAGTGGGGAGGGGCTGGTGTCAGGAAGTGATAGGCGCGGAGAAGGGCTTGAAGGTGTAGGGATGGGGAGGTGTACTTGGGATGCAAGGAAGACCCTGCCAGAGTTGTAGAGTTTGGGGATTTGAATGCGGGACGGTGGACAGGATTTGGGGAAAATGAGCAGGACAGGGGTTGAATCCTGCTCTTCGCAGAATTGGTGGCCATGGGGAAGACCAGGGTGCAAGTGTGTCCTGCTCTTGGCAGGGCTGGGAGTGTAGCTGTGCAGCTCAGCTGACAGTATTTGTGGCTGAGGGTTGGGGTGGGCGGTCTTGGAGGGGAAGCAAGCTGGACTGACCAGGTTTCGTTCCGCAGCCACCATGTTCAACCAGCAGCAGCAGCAGCAGCTCCAACAACAGCAGCTCCAGCAGCAGCAACTGCTTCAGCTCCAGCAGCTGCTCCAGCAGTCTCCACCCCAGGCCCCGCTGCCCATGGTTGTGAGCCGGTGAGTTCCCCACTTGGGGGGGGGTGTGGCTCCAGACTGACGCTCGGGCCCATGTCTTGGAGCCCGCACCCCAGTCCTTTGGTCTAGGGGTGTCTTTGTTGGAGCCTTGAAGCTCATCACCTCCCACCCAGAGGGGACCCTCCATCTGGGTCGGAGGGAAGTGAGGGGTCTGGAGGATGAGGATTTGGCTTTCCCAATAACTGTCCAACGCTCCCTCACAACACACAGGGGCCTCCCCCAGCAGCCACCGCAGCAGCAGCCTCTGAATCTCCAAGGCACCCCCGCGGCCTCCCTCCTCAATGGCTCCATGCTACAAAGGGCTTTGCTTCTGCAGCAGTTACAAGGTACCATCACTTCAGGCGCAGGGTGGCCCATGTCCATGCCAGCTCCCAGCAGCCCCATGCCCTTGTCTCACCCAATCCACACAGTGGTCCTGAGAACACCCTGATGTACAGGACACTGGGGATCCAGGAGGTAAAACTCCTTCACAGGCTCGATTGAATGCACGTGTGCCCTTGGCCATGGCCTGCAGCACTCAGCACACCCACTCATGTATCATTAGATGTTTGACATGTGATGAAGCCCAGAAGGGAAGTAATTTGCTCTGGCATCAGCACTGGCCTGATTAAAGCAAAGCCTGGGCCTCCTCACTACCAGCGTGTCTGATGCATGTCTGGAGTGTTAAGCCTGTGTCCTTGCCTCAGTTTCCCCATGTGGAGAGTGGTCTCAGGTCTTCCTTCCGAAATGCTGTTCCTGAGTCTACTGAGAAGTCCTAAGGGAAGATGCATGTATAATTTATCCCATCTTCCAAATGAGAAAACTGAGACCCAGAGAGGGATCACAGATCCAAGGTCACTCAGCAGGTAGGAGTTGGTTAGATAACCATCACTCTTCAGCCCAGCCGGGACCACATGAGCTTGGAAAACTACAATGTAGATGTGTGTGTGTTTCTTTCCTATTTAAAAAAAAAAAAAAAGCACAGGTTATTTTTGCTTTTTTTTGCTAGAATTTGAATCCAGATTATTTTTAATAGCTGTTTAATATCTCACTGGAGGGATGTACCCTTGCTTGCTGGTGGAAATCTCAGTTGTTTAGCTGGGCTTTATTCTTTTGTTTTCTTTTTTTTTTTTTGCTTTTTGCTACTTTAAATATAAATAACATTGGGGTGAATCTAATGTATGAGACTGTTTTCTTAAAATAGATTCCCAAAGGGGATTGGCTGAGTCAGAGGGGACTGGATGTTTTATGGCTTTTGATAAGTATTGCGAAATTGCTTTCCTAAAGGACTGGACCAGTTTGCAATGCCACCAGCCACGTATGACAGTGCCGGTCTCACCATGCCCACGGCAGCATTGGGTATTATGAGCTTTTTAAAAATATATATATATATGTAAATGTATTTGTGCATATAATTTACTAAGTTGGTTTACAAAAAAAAAGCTGTGTCATTAATGTTTTAATTTACATTTCCTGGAGTGCTCGTGAACATTTTCATATTTATCTGTGAAACATTTGTGTTTCTTTTTTGTAACTTGTCCATGTCCTTTGTCCATTTTTCTTTGGGGGGGTGTTCCATCTTTTGTCTTATTGTTTTAGGAGCAGGTTGGCTGTCTGCACGTATGTGTATGTTTTATTTGTTGTAAGTTAACGTTAACTGAGCACTTACTATGTACCAGGCACACAAAAATATCTCATTCAATCCTCATAAAATGTGAGGCAAGCACTATTGTTATTCTCATTTTTTCCCCCTTTGACGGTCCTGGGGTTTGAACTCAGAGCCTTGCACTTGCAAAGCAGGTGCTCTACCACTTGAGCCATACCTCCAGTCCATCCCCCCCAGTCCTTTTCGCTTTAGTTATTTTTTAGATAGGGTCTTGAATTCTTGCCTGGGCTGGCCTTGGAGTAAGATCTTATTACTGCTGTCTCTCAGGTAACTGGGACCACTAAGCCAGAGCCACTGCACCCAACTTGTTAGCTACAGTTCATAGATGCAGAAACTGAGGCTCAGAAGGGGGAATTGATTTGCTCAAGGTCATAGAACTTGTACTGTAGAGGCTACATTTGAACTGAGCTCTCACAGCACACCTGACCCCTGCCTTTAACCTCTGTGTTTCCTGTCCTAGCATCGGGGCAAGAATTTCAACTCTTTCATGCTTCCTTGGTGTGCAGAGCTGAGTCAGAGGAGGTGTAGCAGAAAGTAGATAAGGAAATTATATGACTGGCTCTAGGACAGTGGTGACAAAGAGGTCTGGGAAGGCCTAGAGGAGAGACACCTATTATAGAGGTTGCAGGATGTGTGGAAGTTGGGACAGCATGAGCAAAGGCCCAGAGGCAGGATGTTTGAAGGACTACACAGGGACATGTGCCTGCCATGTAGTGTGTGGGGAGAATGGCAAGAAGTAGGGTGGGGGACTGGGCAGGGTCAGACCTCACACTGGGAGTCACAGGCTTTGTCCTGGGTTGTGGAAGTGTTTTCACAAGAGGAGTGCTGAGGTCAGAATGTGTTTTCAGAAAGATTCCTGTTTGCTGCCACCCTGTGCAAGAGCTGAGGTTAAAATTTGGGCAAGGGATGAGGTGGCTTTGAAGGGGTGGGGAAAGGAATGGAGAGAGGAAGCCAGGTTGGGAAGTGGTGTAGGAATAGAGTTAGTAGAATCTGGTGATGGCTTAGATGGGGGTCGGGTAAGGAGGCATCAGGAGGACTGGCTAGGGCCTGTGGGTAGACATTGGTGTCTCTCAGAGACTGTATCACCAGTAGAGGTAATAATGTCTGCCTTGATGTCTGGTGACTATCACTTTCCCATGCTCAACACAGCGCCTGGTGCAGAGTAGGCCTTTGATGGAGAGAAGCTGGCTGATTCTCTCCACGGGCCCTGTGCCCACTCTGTCACATACCTAAGGAGTATCCTGAGATGGGAAGGTCCCCTTGAAAGTTATCTTTGATGTCTCCATAATGCTTTGGGAGACCAATGCCCACCCCTAGCCTCTACTCCCATCCATGGTGTGACCCTTCTTCTCTCCTCTCCTTGCCTGCAGGAAGCCTCCGAGGCTACAACATGGCAGCCCCTAGCCTGGCAGCCCCCAGCCTTACACCACCCCAGCTGGGCCCTCCAAATCTGCAGCAGTTCTTCCCCCAGGCCACTCGCCAGTCCCTGCTGGGCCCTCCTCCTGTGGGGGTCCCTATGAACCCCTCCCAGCTCAACCTGTCTGGGCGGAACTCCCAGAAACAAACCCGGATCCCCTCTTCCACCACTCCTAATCGCAAGGTAAGTGGTGCCTGGGGTAAGCAGGTGGCGGTGGGAATGGGCAAGGGGACAGCTGAGTGTGAGCTCTGCCCTCTCAGGCTTCTCCTAGGCTTTGGGCAGGTCACACTCCCTCCTTCTGCCTCATTTGTAATGTGGGCATGGAGGGTGGACTTGTCTAGCATCCCCAAAACTTCAAATATTCTTGTGTTCCCAACATGGTCTTTGCCATGCTCAAATACCAGTGGAAATAAAATATGAGCCTTTGTATATGATTTGAAATCTTCTGGTAACCACATGAAAAAGAGAAAAAAACATGAAAAAAAAAAAAACCACAAAAACTATTGTGGAATAGTTCACAAGACCCCAGCTCCAAAATAACCACAGCAAAATGGGCTTGGAGGTGTGTCTCAAGTGGTAGAGCGCCTGCTTTGCAATTATGAAGTCCTGAGTTCAAACCCCAGCCCCACCAAAAAAAGAAAACTAGGTGAAACTAATTTTACTAGTATAGTTTATTTAATCCAGCATATCAAAGATTTGTTTCAGTCTGTGATCACTATAAAAAATGATTGAGGTATTTTACACCCTCTATTCATTTAGAGACCAAGTCTTGCTACATTGCCCAAACTGGCTTCTAACTCCTGGGCTCAAGTGATCTTCCTGCCTCAACCTCCCTAAGGAGCTAGGACTGCAGGCACATGACACTATGCCCTATTTAACAATTTTTTTTTTTTTAATATGGTACTGGGGTTTGAACTCAGGGCCTACACCTTAAGCCACTCCACCAGCCCTCTTTTGTGAATGGTTATTTTGAGATAGAGTCTCCCAAACAATTTGCCCAGGTTGGCTTCGGATCACGATCCTCCTCATCTCTGCCTCCTGAGTAGCTAGGATTACAGGTGTGAGCCACTGTCGCCAGGCCCAGTGTGTATCTTATACTTACATCTCAGTTGAAACATTTCAGTGCTCCCCTGAGGAGGGCAGAGGGGGTGACTTAAGTGGTGGTACACTTGTGGAGGTGCTGGCCTCAATCCCCAGTACTACAAAACAAAAAAAAATGTCTTTATTTTTAAAGGAAACATTATAGCATTGCCCCCAGGTTTAAAAACTATCTGAATTAATTGCCACGCACAAAAGAAAAAGAAAAGAAGCCGGGTGAAACAAGTTGTCAAATCCTAAATCCTACACTGTTGCTATTTAAAGGCTTGAGCTGCAGGTCCGGCTCTTTATATGGGCAGGTGTTCACCCTTGCCTACCAATACCCAGAAAACTCAGAGACTCACAAAGGAAACTGCCTCCTCCCCAGGCTCGCCTGTCCCCGGGCATCCTGGCATCTCTGCTCACATGCTCCATTCCTGAGTTCATGCTGTGACACGTGCAACACCCCCTACCTACTTGTTTTAGGATAGCCTACTTCTGAGGCAGCGCATTTCTCTCCAGAGAGGGGTCCTGTCTCTGTTTTTCTTTTCTTTTTCCTTCCTCCATTTGTTTGTTTGGCAGTATTGGGGTTTGAACTCAGGGCCTTGAGCTTGTTAGGCAGGCCCTCTGCCACTTGAGCCACACCTCCAGTCCTTTTTGCTTTTAGATATTTTTCAAGTAGGGTCAGGATTTTTCAAAAAGTGTCTTGATTTTATGCCTAGGTGGCCTGGACCGCTATCCTATTTACACTTCCTGCATAGCTAGGATGGCAGGTGTGTGGCCCGCTTTTATTGGTGGAGATAGGGTCTCACAACCTTTTTTTTTTTTTTTTTTAACTCAGCTGGTCTCAAACCTCAATCCTCTTGATCTCTGCCTCCCAAGTAGCTAGTATTAACAGGGTGAGCTACTGCATCTGGCCTGCCCCTATTTTACATCTTGGAAAACTGCAGCTCAGAGATGGGTGGGTGAGGCAAGTTCAGAGCCCCGGTCCCCTAACTCAAGTCATGCAGGGCACAAGCTAGGTAGCTTCTGAGGGTCCTAGAGTCCTTATGTGAGGTCCAGATTGCATTCCGCACTCAGTACTGATGTCTCAGAAGAGGGAGGCTCCAGATGGCTCCCGGGGCTTCCCAGGGTGTTCGGGAACTGGCTGAGACTTGCATTAATTGGGGAAACATCTGTCAGGCCCTGCTGATGTGGCAAATGGCCTGCCCCTCCTGTGGGTCTTGGAGGGGTATGTAAGAGATATTAAAGCAAGTAATGTTCCAATCAATTAATTAAGACTGGAAAATGTCACCAAAACTAAGCTGCAGTCCTCTGGGGGCCTAAACTAGGGGTCTGGACCTAGTCTGGTGTCAGGAGGGCTCCTGCAAGAAATGGCTTTGAGGCCATGTGAGGTGATGGCCTGGTGGCAGGAACAGGCTGGGGCTTGACCAGAGAGAGGGCCAGCATGAATGTGCCGAGAGGGTAAGGGAGAGCAGAGACGCTGGAGGGGTTCAGGAGGGGGCTGAGGGGGACAGAGGCCAGGTTGTGCCTGGTATGGTTGAGAGGGGAGGGCAGAAGACACAGGAGGGGTTAAGTCTGAAAGAGACAAGAGGGTGGTGAGGTTTGCATTTTAAAGACAACTTGTGAAGAAGTGGCTGGAGAAGACAGGAGGCAGCAGTGGGCCAGAAGGCAGCTTTGGCTTTGTGTCTTCCCAGCCTGGGTTTATTTAGCAGTCAGACAGCTAGATGGGACACACCTCCCTGCCCCACCAACTCCTGGGGTGTTTCAGATCATCCCTCACTTCTTTTTTTGCGATATGGGGCTTGAACTCAGGGCCTACACCTTGAGCCACTCCACCAGACCTTTTTTCGTTTTTTCGAGATAGGGCCTCGTGAACTATTTGCCCGGGCTGGCTTCGAACTGTGATACTCCTCTCTGCCTCCTGAGTAGCTAGGATTATAGGCGTGAGCCCTGGCTCCAAGCTGTCCCTCACTTCTGGGGCCAGGTGCACTAGAAATCCCCAGGGCTCCTTCAGCCCCTGGGGACAGTAACAGCAGTTCTTGGGCAAGGGGGTGTTTGTGAGGGTGGGCGGTAGATGTCAAAAATGGTTTCTGAAAGGAAGTAGGATTCTTCTTCCCAGACGGTGCCTGTAGAAGACAGGGCAGACCCCCCAGAGGGGTCTGAGGAAGCCGCAGAGCCCCAAACGGACACATCTGAAGGTGAGGGAGGGGGAGGCTGCTGCTCTTCAGAGGGGATGTGGCTTGGGGTCAGCAGGGCTCTCCGTGGGGGTGAGCTGGGTGGTCTCTGGGAGCTAGTCCTACCTAGTGTCCGTGCTCCTCATCCGCCCCCATTGCAGACGAGCCCTCACCTGTTTGCCCAGATGACAGCGTGAGCGAGAAACACACCCTTACACCTGAGCCTGAGCCATGTGAGGAGTCCGAGCCACCAGCCAAGAGGTCAAAAACGTAAGTGCAGCCCACAGGTCAAGCTTATCTCTGCACCAGCCTGGGGCGGCTCCAGGCAGACTCTGGTGGCTCAGCCATCTGGAGGCCAGGTTGGAGGTTCATTCCTGGGACCTCACAGGATGAGCAGAGGGCAGGCAGGTTTATAGGGCTAATTGGATGTATGTTGCAAGTTGCTTGGGGGAAATCAATGCTCCCCCAATTTATTTAGGTGAAACTGAGGCACAGAAAGGCACAGTGTTTGCCACATCCCCCAGCACAAGTGGTACAGCTAGGATTGCATACTGGAACTTGGCCTTTCTTGGGACTCCTGGGGCCTTTTGGGAGATATGACTTTGATCATCTTTGGACCCTTCATAGCTCAGAGGAGCCCACCGAGAAGGGGACTCCAGGGCAGCTACAGGCCAAGGTTCAGCCACAGGCCCGGATGACAGTACCGAAGCAGACACAGACCCCAGAGCTGCTACCTGAGCCCCTGGAAGCCCAAGTGCTGCCACGTTTCCAGCCACAGGTTCTGCAGATCCAGGCCCAGGCGCAGCCACAGTCTCAGCCACCAAGGCCTCCAGCGGAGACACAGGTGCAGCCAAAGCTGCAGAAGCAGGCACAAACCCAGACCTCTCCAGAGCACTCAGTGCCACAGGAGATGCAGGCGCAGCCCCAGGTACAAGCACAGCCCCCACGGCAGGTGCAGCTGCAGGAGGCAGAGACGCAGAAGCAGGTGCAGCTGAAGGCCCATTTACAGCCCTCAAGGCGGGAGCAGCCACCCCCACAGCTGCAGAAGCAGGCTCAGACTCAAACAGATCCACAGGTACACGCCCAAACACAACTACAGGAGCGGCCTTCAGGGCAGGTGCCACTGCCGCCACCAGAGCAAACCCAGAGCCAGCCTCAGAGCCAGCCGCAGGGGTCTGTCCCCACAGCAGAGCAAGCACTGGTTCCGGCTCATGCCACCGTACTGGAGATGCCACCTAGCATGGCAGCAGCTGGGGGAGGTGAGTGAGTGTTGGCTCCCTGCTGGTCATATAGTAGGACAGCTCTCTCCAGACCCTTTTTTGCTCCCCTGGCACTGCCCAACCTTAATCGGGTGCTTCCAGGGCTGAGGGCTGAGCCTGGAGCCCAGGTCTGGGGCTGTCTCCACTAGGGACTTCAGGGTCCTGGCTATAGGCAGAGAAGGCAGCTTCTGGGCCCAGGGGAACCAGATGCAGATGCAGGTGGCAGATGTAGTCTGGGAGAGGAGCACACCTGTCATTTCAGGAATGGAGGAGGCCTCACCGGAGTCAGTGTGCGCCCAGGTCAGTGAGGACGCAAACCAGAAGGAGTCAGCCAGTGGTCTGGACGTGGGAGAATGTGAAAAAAGGGTAAGAGAGATGCCAGCGGTGCATAGAAGCATGAAGGTAGCCACGTGACAGCCCCAGGGTTTCGGAGCAAGAGGCCTCTCTCCCTGCTCCAGGCCACCTTGGGGATCCCTGTGTTTCCCCACCTGCAAAAGGGGCAGCAGCTCTGTGCCTGGCCACGCGGATGGACCAGACAGTGATTCCCATGAGTCCTCACACTCTCATGTTGTTTTCACATGCCTTTGCTCTGAAGACCTGGATGCTTTTGGTGACAGGCGTCCCCTCCAGTCTCCCATCCCCAAACTAGAGCCCCTGGTCTCCTCCCACAGGTGAAGTCATCTGTGGGACTCAGTTTCCCAAAGAAATTAGGCAGATCTGGTGTTCAAATGCTGGCTACAGTACTTGTTAATCCTGTGAGCTTGAGCAATCGTCTAACAACTCAGAGCCTCAGTTTCCCTATTTGTCAGGAGGCTCTGATGAGACAGTGCTCACAGGTGTTTAGTGCTGGGGCTGGCCTACCATAAGCGCCCAGATGATGGAAGCTCTGCCTCTGTTCCTGCTGTAGATGTATGGTGCTGGGGGCTCCCTGAAGGTCACCATCCTACAGAGCAGCAACAGCCGGGCCTTTAACACCATACCCCTCACGACTGGGCCCCGTTCTGGCGACCCCGGCTCCACCACCCCTGTGGCCTCCAGCACATCCTCCAAGCAGCCCCTGCAGTTCTTCTGCTGTATCTGCAAAGCCAGCTGTAGCAGCCAGCAGGTATCCAGAGCAGCAAGAGGGGAGGGCACAATGGGCCTGCCCTTCCCATGCTGGTGTTGCCCAGTGGCTGCACAGGGCCCCTCAACCCTGCCCTGGGCAACTGTGCTTCTGCTCAGAAAGCATTTCCTGATCAGCCAGATGGGCAGGTTTTTGGAGTCAGGCAGACCTGGTTCAAGTTGACTCTGATCAGCTACACAAGCCTCAGAAAGTAAATTCCAGCTGGGCATGGTGGTGCATACTGTAATCCCAGGTACTCAGGGGGTGCAAACAGGAGGATCTCAAGTTGGAGACCATTCCAGCCTAAGTTAGCAAGACCCTGTAGGTCTTTAGAAACAAAATAAATCAAATGGCTGGAGTGTGGCTCAAGTAGCTATTGGGTTCAATCTCCAGTACCCCTCCCCCCAAAAAAAGTGATTTCCACTCGTACATTTGCTTTCTTTTGTGTCAGATGAAGAAATATTCATAGCCCACCTTGCTGGGTAGTCTGGAGGTTCAGCCACTTGACATTGAAGTCCTAAGCCCAGGCCTGGGCCAAGTGAATATAGCATTAATAACAGTACTGGGAGCAGTAGTGCACAGCTGTAGTCCCAGCTACTCAGGAGGCTGAGGCAGGAGGATCACTTGAGCCCAGGAGTTTGAGATCAGCCTGGGCAACATAGTGAGGCCCCCATCTCAAAAAAAAAAAAAAAAAGTAGTCTTACACTCGTATTACTTTTATGGCCATGGTTACCTCTGATCCTCCATGTCCTGCCTGAGCAGAGCCATGTAGACATGTTTACCAGAGTGCTCCTTAGCTTTGAGGCGCTCACATAGTCCCTGAGAGGTGCAGAAGCTCCAGCTGGTGTATAGTCCCTCTCTGCCTCAGTTTACCATCCCTGCTCTGGCCCACACAAGGCCATGTGGCCTCACAGAGATGGCAGGGTAGCCATAAAGCCAAGGTTGAAGTTGTCCTCCCTGGAGCTGACACCTTATGGGCACCTCTGGCTCCCTCATGCTGCAGGAGTTCCAGGACCACATGTCAGAGGCTCAGCACGAGCAGCGACTCGGGGAGCTCCAGCACACAAGCCAAGCCTGCCTGCTGTCCCTGTTGCCTATGCCCCGGGATGTCCTGGAGAGAGACACAGAGTGAGTGGCCGTCTCACAGGCCAGGCCCTGAGTCTACCTCTGTAAGGCCTGCCTTGGCAGCAAGCCTTGCCCTCCCCTGAGGCCTCTTTACATCATTAACTCCACAACCTTAAACGTCAGTTTTCCCCTGGTGACAGGATAGTGACAGTCTCTTAAGGCTCCATCCAGGCAGGAACAGAGTGCATCCATCCCTGTGGAAATGAGGTGGGGTGTGGCACAGAGTCCTGCACCCCTAGCACGGGTGCTGACTCCAGCTGTGGGGCACAGTGGTGAGGACCTGAGGTGAGAGCTTCCCTGCATCCCCCTTCCGTGGTCATGGGGCCTGGTTGGTCAGAAGCATCCGCCCTCCTGGAGTCTGGGATTAGTGCTTGGAGTGAGAAGGCGTGGTGGAAACTGGAGGAGCTGTCAGGATCCCATGGGCCATCACAAACTGTGGGGGCTTAGAGGTGTGACAGGAGCAGAGCCACTCTAAGGAAAGAGCTGATGAGCCAGATGTAGTCATGTGACCATCTGAACCAATCCCCTGGCCAAGCTGAGGTGGGCAGGACCAGCTAGCTGTGCTCATAGAAGTGGGAAATGCTCCCAGGAATGGCACTGAAGTGCTGTGCGCACAGCTGGACCCAGCCCCCTAGTGGGGGTAACCTCCCCTCCTCTGTAGCCCACAGCTGGTCCTCTATGCTAAGCCCTTACCCACCTTGGCCATTTCTGAGAGGCCTTGGCATGGCTCTGGCCACATGCTGTTTACCTGTCTGGTGGCAGGGTCATCTCCTACTCCCTTTCTTCAGTTAGTGTGCTTTTTTATTACCAAGGTATTAAAATGCCTTGGGTTCAATCCCCAACACTGAAAAATATTCAAACTTTACAAAACTACTTATATTTAAAAGAAGAGGGCTGGGAGAGTGGCTCAAGTGGTAGAGCGCCTGCCTAGCAAGTGTGGGGTTCTGAGTTCAAGCTCCAGTACCACCAAAAAAGAAAAGAAAGAAAGAAAGAAAGAAATCCACAGGAATGCTGTTCTCCAGATTCTGTAGATCGCTTTGCACTTGTTCACAGCAATAGCAGGAATATTTTACTGAGGACAGTAAGTGTGCTAAAGCCCTAAAACCTGGTACTCTTGGGTTAGGGGTGTTGCTTAGTGGAAGAGCACTTGCCTAGCATGTGTGAGGCCCAGGGCTTGATCTTGTAACCACACACACACACACACACACACACACACACACACACACACACACACACAAAACACTTGATCATAGCCAAAAGGCCGAGAAGTGATACACACACACACACAAAACAACAAACAAAAAACTGGTACTCTTACTACATGAGTGATGAATTTTTTTTTCCAATTGGAAAAAGAACTTTTAGCTAAGTTGTGGCACATCCCTGTAATTCCAGAGGCAGAGGCAGGAGGATATCAAGTTTAAGCAAAGTTAGGATCCCATGGGCCATCGCAAATTTAGTAAGACCCTGTCTCAAAAAGAAAATATAAAACCAAAGGATTGGGTAGAGTAGAAGTTCAAGTGTTAGAGCGCTTACCTAGCGTGCCTGAGGCACTGAGTTTAATCTGTTGTACAGCCAAGAAAAAAAAAATCTCTTTCTGATTGCAAAAATAATTTTGTTCAAACCCTAGTACTGCAAAAAAATTCATTATGTAACATTTTGAAAATACAAGAACATACCCACACAAGACGATAAAAATCACCATAATCCCATTGCACAGAGATAAACACTGTATATTTTCATGGCTTTTGTGTTTATTTAATCTTTTTTAAAGTAAAAGATTAGAATCATGCTACATGATATATAACTGTACTAAAGTATTCACAAGGGATATTGGGGGGGTTCTGAAGCCCCTAAAATTGATACAAGCTTGTGTGTGTGTGATTATGTAGTAGAGTCCTTATTTTCACTGACTTTGGAACACCTTTTTCCCTTGCAGTAGTACTACTGAGGATCAAACCTGGAGCCTTGAGCCTGCTATGCAAGTGCTCTACCACTAGGCTACATCCCTAGCCCCTGAATTTTTAATTTTCTTTGTGACATTTTTCAATATATGGAAGTTTTTCATTTTTTCCCTCCACTCACCCCAAATTTTAAATTTTTATGCGATCAGATTTATCCCTTTTTTCCTTTGTGGTTTCTGGCCATGGTATTTCAGATAGGAAGGACTTGCTCAACCCAGGATTATATAAATAGCCGTACCCCTTTTGAAAAGTATATGGTTTTAATTCTCACACCTGAATTTCTAGTAGTCTACCTAGACTACTAGACTTCTCCTAATTGGATAATAAATTGGCCTGACATCATTTATTACACAACCTGTGCTCTTCAATTTTATTAGAAGCTGAACTCTTTTCTTCTTTTGGTGGTACTGTGGTTTGAACAGGGCCTCGCTAGGCAGGTGCTCTGCCACCTGAGCCACTCCGCCAGCCTAGAAGCTGAATTCTTATCAATATCTGCACCTGTTTTTGGACTTTCTCCTCCTTCCCATTGATCCACTGTGTGAGAGTACATATTACGCACTTTTGACTGTTGTGCCTGGTGGTTTTAATTAATGGCTGGCATCCCAAATGCTTCTAAATCTCACCCTCCCCCCAAACTTTCCATAGTTATTCCTGCTTAAGTATTCACTCAGTTTCGTTAATTTTCCAACAAAGATCCTATTGAAATTGCATCCCGTTTTTCTTTTTCTTTTTTGGTGCTAGGAATGAAATCCAGGACTTGGCTCCTGCTAAGCCCGTGCTCTACCCTTGCCTACACCCCGACCTCTGAATCCCATTACATTTGTGGAGCAATCTGGAAGACTCGTTTCTTCCACCAAAACATAGTGTCACATTGTGCTTGTCTCTCAGAGATCCTCCACCGAGGCGCTGGTGCAACACCTGCCAAGTGTACTACATGGGGGACCTGATCCAACACCGCAGGACCCAGGACCACAAGGTAGGAGGGCCTGTGTGCTGTGGAGGCACCTGCAGGACCATCTCAAGCAGAGGATAGTGAGGAGGGGGCCCAGGATGGGTCATCTTTGTTTCAATATGACTGTCACTCACAATGTAGCTTCTGATAAGTCAGTCACGTTCCTCTTTGGATGTCAGTTTCCCCATCTGTCCAGTGTGGCCAAGGCCCGAGCTCACTGTGCTCTTCAGCCATGGGGCTCCTGGGCATGCCTTTGGCAACTGCCTTTGTTCCTGTCTTGTCTCTGTCCTGTCTCTTGTTGCTATCTGACATACCATCTTAGCCAAACACAAAGGGAAGAGCATGTTTGTGCGGGATCAGAGAAAGACCAGCTTACTTCCGACATGGTGGGCCTGCAGGTGGGAGGTGAGGTTGCCCTGGGCATTCCCTGGCCACTAGTCAGGGAGCTTGTACCTGAAAATGCTGACTGCTACCCACGTGGCCTGTCTGCTTCCCCCAGATTGCCAAACAATCCCTGAGGCCCTTCTGCACTGTTTGCAACCGCTACTTCAAGACCCCACGCAAGTTTGTGGAGCATGTGAAGTCTCAGGGACACAAGGACAAGGCCAAGGAGGTAATCCTAGTTGCCTCAGAGGACGTGAGTCCAGAAAGGTATAAAGCCTACACCAAGGCCACACCGCAGGTTGAGGTTTATCCAAGCCTACCTCACAGCAGAGCATGGGACTCTCAGCTGCCTAGAGCTGACCTCAGCCCCTTGTCCACTCCCCGGGCAGCTAAAGATGCTTGAGAAGGACATAGCCAGCCAAGACGAGGATCACTTCATCACAGTGGACGCCGTGGGCTGCTTTGAGGGCGATGAGGAAGAGGAGGAGGAGGAGGAGGATGAAGAGATTGAGGTTGAGGAGGAATTCTTGAAGCAGGTACTTGGGGTGGGCTTGGGAGGCAGGCCGGAGTCAGGAGGACCCTCATGCTCCCTCCCAGGGCCCAGGCCTTGGGTTGCCATTTGTGAGCACGAATGCATGCTGCGACCTATTACTAATAAGGCCTGTATTATATATGACCATGTAAATGTGCCCTGGGGTGATTACTGAGTGGTAGGTGACATGTGCCAGGACCCCAAAGCCTGGCTGAGATTTTTTTTTTTGGTGGTGGTGGTGGTGATGGTACTGGGGTTTGAACTCAGGGCCTCACACTTGCTAGGCCAGTACTCTACCACATAAGCCATGCCCCCAGCTCTTTTGGCTTTAGTTACTTTTTGGGATAAGGTCTTGCTTTATACCTGGGCCGTCCTGAACTGTAATTCTGTTTGTGCTTCCCCTGTAGCTGGGATGATAAGTGCACCCTACCAAGACCAGTTTACTGGTTGAGAAGGAGGGTCCCACTAATCTTTTGCCTGGGCTGGCCTTGAACCGTGATCCTCCTGATCTAGGAGTGGTAGGATTGCAGGTGTGATCCCATGCCTGGCCCTTGGCTGAGGTTTTGACCTGTGTAGAGAAGAGAAAGGGTATGCTGGAAAAGGCATGGAGGTGGGAAATTAACACGCTGAGGAAAAATCCATGTAAGGTGATGGTGACGACGGTGGTGTTGGCAGCCAGCATTTTCCGAGCACTTCCTATATGTGAGGCACCTACCACGCACCATCCTGGCAGAATCTTATCACACTGGATGGCAGGAAGTGCCCACGCCTTCACCTCCCCAGCACTGCTGCCGGGAGCTAGCTTCCAGCTAGCTTGGCCTCCTTGTAGTTTAACCCATGTTAACCTGGACACATGTCCTGGGCCAGGCCCTGGTGCTGTCACAGGGACATGTGAGGACCCAGGCCTGGCCGTTGCCTCGCAGATATCACCCCAGTTAGAGCCCACAGTGGTCCTAGGAAGAGCTCAGCAGAGGGGTGGGCGTTACTCTTGGAAACCATGTGTTTGGTGAGCAGTGGGGAGCACTGCTAGGCATGGTGGGTCTGATGTGGCAGGAGTGAGATGGCCTTTCCAGAAAGGGGCTCACATCTGGTAGGTGACACTCAGGGTCCTTGATCTGAAACCCACCTTCAGGACCAAAGTCACTGCAGTATTGGTGGGAACTCAGGGAGCTGGCCCTTGGAGAAGAGTTTGAGCTCTGGCTTGGGCCCAGGCTCCACTCCTCCACAAGCCATCTGAATAACCCTGAGCAAGGGAGCTAATGTCTCTGGAGCTTCAGTTTCCTCTTTTGTCAGATGGGTATCACCATAGAGGCCTTGATGAGGATTCAGTGAGATGGACATGTGTTGGATGGGGGCACACCTGGCATGGATTGCGGCCATGGTGGAACAGGAGGGCAGGCTGGAGGAGGGGGCTACCTGGGCAGAGCCTGGAAAGGCTCTGAGAGGCTTGGTCAGAATGCCAAGGCTCAGAGAATGCCACCTACAATTGCCTGCAAAGCAAGGGGGTGGTGTGTTGGTGACCATGGGTGGGCTCCAAGCCCTAACCTGCATCTGATAAGGGTCTGGGGAGCCACATCTGAGTCCTATCCTGCACATCCCCAGGTGAGGTCCAGAGATATATCCATAGAGGAGTGGAAGGGTTCAGAGACCTACAGCCCCACCACTGCGTATGGTAAGACCCCGTCCCTGAGCCCACCCCGGCAGCCCCGCGCCCCAGTGAGGCAGCCTGTCCCCTGCTCCTTTCTCCTCTGCTCCTACCTAAAGGGTAGGGAGCAATGGGCTGGAGAGGGCAAGGCTTGTAAGGTGGGGCATCCACAGACCCTGCCATCTGTCTCCAAGGTGTGGACTTCCTGGTGCCTGTGATGGGCTATGTCTGCCGTATCTGCCACAAATTCTACCACAGCAACTCGGGGGTGCAGCTCTCCCACTGCAAGTCCTTGGCCCACTTTGAGAACCTGCAGGTAAGTGGACATCCTGACGACCATGTCCTGCCTGGGGACCCAGCCTCTATCCCAACCGATGAGCAGGGCCAGTGGCCACCTCCCTCAGGCTTAGCTGCAGTCCCCAGGTACACCCTTGCAACACAGAGGGCCTCAAAGCTGGGATGGCTGGACTCTGTTGTCCTAGGGGGTGTGGAGGGCCAGGTGGTTAGTTCTGGATCAGAGAGCTGAGAGCACCACACAGGGTCACACAGCACATTGATACTGTCTTGACTGGGGCTGGAAGCGGCTATAGGCTAGGAGTACCCCAGGTAGGTAGGAGGCGCTGACCTTACCTGTACTCTCCATACCCAGAAATACAAAGCGGCCAAGAACCCCAGCCCCACCTCCCGGCCCGTGAGCCGCAGGTGCGCAATCAACGCCCGGAACGCCTTGACTGCACTGTTCACCTCCAGCAGTGGCAGCGGCCGCCTGCCCACCCAGCCCAGCCCCCAGGACACAGCCAAAGCCCCCAGCAAGGTGAAGTCCCGGCCCCCCAACACTCCACCCCCACCTCGGCGCTCAACCCGCCTCAAAACCTAATAGAGGGAGCTTCCAGCGCCTGCCTGTTTGGGTCCTTCTGCTAACGCTTTCCAGGAGTGTGTGGGAATGGTGACATGGTTGCTGTTTTTACTCAAAATTCAATAAAAGGTCATTTAGCTGTGCAGTCCTCACCAGCACTCTGTCTGGGTGGACAGGGCAAGGGTGCAACCCAGTCAGCTCTCAGCCAGCACCCAGCCTCCTGGGCACAATGTAGCAACAGAACTGGGAGGTCAAAGCAGGCTCCTTCAGAACTAGAGACTCTGGCACCACAGGCACCACACCTCTGAGCCTTGGTTTCCCTCTTAATGTATCAGGCCAGGAAATGGCTTCAGGTAAGATCTTAATTTTAACGGTACCACCGGGAGGCAGTCTTGTTGCTCTCTCCAAATTACAGATGAAGAAACTGAGGCCTAAGGAGGATACGTGTCAAAAGTCAGAGCAGGAAAATGGCCAGAATTTGATCCCAGGTGTGAACTCCAGGTTCCTGTACTGGCCTCTCTGGAAACTCAGAGTTGAAATTCAAACAAAGAGTTACTGTTAGGTTGGGGGTCCTTGAGGCTCAGGTTCTGGGCTCTTAGTTCAGTAGTGGGGTGCAGCCCTCCTGGCAGGCAGCCCTAAGATGAATCAACAGCGGATGGGGCCCATGCTGAGTGGCTCTTTAGTTGTGCTGTTTTGTCATTTGGAGAGAAATGACTCTTAGAGACAGACAACCAGATTGGCCCTGTTATGGGGAGACTAAGACCAAAAATGGAGGGTATTACCAAGGTTGCACAGCATATCTAGGTGTTGGCTGTCTTGGTGAAAGGCCCTAGGACCCAGAGAGGCTAAGTGCATCCCACAAAGTCACACAGCATGTCTTTTGTCTCAGCCAGGCTGGGAAGTAGCTAATTAGGGATACTCCAGGTAGGGAGGAGGCCCTGGCCTCACCTACAGCCTCAGTACCCAGAGATACAAGGTGGCCAAGAACCCCAGCCCCACCACCTGGCTCACGGGCCACCATTGTGTGATCAACATGCAGATTCCTTGACTGCCCTGTTTACCTGGGGTCCTCATCGTGGCACACAGAGGAGAAAGACACAGTGGTGTGGGGGACCCGTTTAATGTAGATACTGAATCCTGGGTGAGGTGGGGAATGCCCAGGAACTGGGCAGGCAGGCAATTGAGTAGGCCACAGAGCCACACCTCGCCTCAGGAGGGCAGCTGGGCAGTGGGGGCTGGCACAGGCAGGCAGACCCACTAGGGGACTCAAAGGTATCTAAGCCAGGTAGTAGATGCCCAGGAAGGCAGGGTTTGGGCCTAGATGGGAACTCCCACAGCTTAGGGACTGGCATCACCAGGGGCCTCCCCAAGCTGCTGCTGGAACTCAAGGCGTGTCTGCCGGTTGGACTCCAGCAGCTCCTGGAGGCGGGCATGGAGGTGGTCGTTCTTCTCCTCCAGGTGGTCCAGACAGGAGTTGATCTGGTCCAACATGGAGTTAATGGCAGCGTACTCTGGGAGGAAGGGGAAAGACAGACTCAACATCCCATGTCTCCCCAGGGCTCACAGACACACTCATACCCCACACTCCTCAACCCTGCCTCTAAAAGGGGCTATAGGCAAGTCTCTACTCCTTCCTAAGCCTCAGTGTCACCAGCTGGAAAATGGGTGGATACCAAAAGAGGAAGAAATAATACCTTAGTGTTACCATCTTTCTTCTAGGGTTAGGGTAGTCACAGTGTCCTGCCTGAGAGTGTCCTGCCAGGTGCCAAGCCTCCTTTGCACTTCCTTCAGCAGCTACCTAGAGGCCAGAGCCCACCTTCTGGCATCTGGTAATCAAAGCTTCTGTCCCAGACAGGCTATAATCTCCAATCCTTCTGTGACCTCTTTCACCTTCAGGATAAAGTACCCAGCAGATTCTCCCAGGCCCTGGAACAGGGACCAGCCCCTGCTCCCCTCCCTAGTCCCATCTTCTGAGCCTCTTCCTCTCTTCCTACCTGCCTTTGCCTATCTCAGGCCCTTTGAATGTGCTGGGTCTTCTGTCTTCCCTCCTTTCCTCTCCTCTCCTCTTGGATAAATCCCACTTGTCTTTCAAGTCTCAGTATGGATGAGGTACCCTCCCAGTACCCCAGACCATATCAGGCCTCTATCTTGATCCCCCAGCCCGCCTTCCCCTCCACAGCCCTCCCTTCAGGAATGACTGCTATGATTACTTGAGTGCTGTTCTGTGCCCCCCACTCAACTATAAAGCTCTCTGAGGTGACTGGTCTTGTGTTTGCTGCTGTCTCCCCGGCACCGTCAATGACATAAAATAAGCATTTACTGAATGAGTGAGTGAGTGACTGACTGAACGAATGAAGCTGGCTTTCCAGCCTCTTGGCCTTTGATCAACTATCCCTGCAACCAGAATACCTCAAACACGGCCACCCTTCAGGTAGCAGCCCAAAATGCCTCCTCCAAGAAGTCTTCCTGACTCCTTCCTGTACCGTGCTCCTGACCTGCCTCTCTCAGTGACACAATGTTCCTTAGAACCTAAGAAGGTCTGGATCTGTGCCTGCTGCAGGACCCAGTTCTGAGCCAGCCCATGACTCAGATATACTTGGCCGCCAGCTTGGGACCAGAGGGGAAGTGGCTAGTAGTGGTGGTGGAAAAGACCAGAGCCTGAGGAGTGTCTGGGATGTGGGTATGAAAGTGCCTGCCTTCAGAAGGTCACCCATTGCCCAGAGAGGGTACCCCTCACAGAGGACAGAGTCCTGGGAAGTCTGCTGGATCTTAAAGTCTTTCGCTGTGGTACAGGTGGGGAAATTGAGACCTAAGAAGGAAGGAACCAGCCCAGGCTCCCACAACTAGCTGATGATAGAACCAAAACTCTGACTTGGGGATTGGAGGTCCCTGGTTTGAGTTCTGATTCTGCCGTACCCCAGCAGGTTACCGCTGAACCTTTCCAGAAAAGGAGTTAAGAACAGAGGTTTCAAATCTATCATGAGCCTAGCCAGGGTCTGCCCACAGCAAGTACTTAGTAGTCATTAGGATCAGAATTTCCCATTCCATCCCGGGCACCAGCTGGGAGAAAGGGATGGGGGAACTGCATCTCCATACCACTCCGGGTCAGGCTTCATCTGTGTCTAGGGTAGTTCCCAGTTCCAAGTCTTGCTTTTGCTTGGGCCACCCGCCCCCCCAACTCTCCTATGAATCTGCCAACATCCACTCAATGCAGCTGGCTCCTGCTCACCAGCATTACCCACTGCAAACCTATTGGCCTACTGCTTGTCCCCAACGGGTGACTTTCTACCTTTATTAAAAGTCGACTCTGGGGGTCTGACTCAAGTGGTAAGAGCTGCCTAGCAAGCTGGAGTCCCTGGGTTCAAACCCCAGTACTCAAGGTGATGAAATGTCCTAAAACTATTGCAATGGATGCACAACTCCTCGAGTGTCCTGCCTTCTAAGTTAATGCACCAGTCCTCACTAAAGAGAATAATTCCCTTACTCACCTGCTGGAACCTAAGCATTTTCTGTTCAGTTTTTCCTATAATCCTGACGCGTCTCAATGCAAGACCCACGAATCGTTACTCCTATACTACAGATGGGAAAACTGAGGACCAAGGTGAAGAGGGAGCCCATGGTTGATAGTTCTCCCGCCCTCCCGCAGTGCTGTGCACGCAAGAAGCTGCGTGTCACACCAGCAAACTAGGTGGCTGGGGTGCTGACTCAGCAGAGCGGGCCGCCCACCCGCTCAGCCCCGTCTGCTGAGTAAAGCCGGCCAAGCTCGGTCCCGCCCCCACCCCTTAAACGAAGGAAGGGCATGCAGCGAGCCCTAAGCGGACGAGCAGCCCTGAAGCTGCCTAGTTTCTCCCGTAAAACGGGGTTGGCACCCATAGTTCTCCAATGCTGCGATTCCCAGGGACTCGCACTCCGGTGCTCTCCCTGCACCTCGGAGACCGCTCCGGGGCAACTTTGGACCCACCCAGGAGCGGGTTGGGACAGCTCTTCGGTCCCTTTCAAGCCTCCAACCCAGCCCTGATTCCCCTTCCCAGGAGTGCACCCGTGGAAAAGCAAAGGTTGCTTCAGTAGCACCCAGGATCACCTGCTTCCCCGAAGCCATCGTCCTCGCCTTCCGCGCCAGCCTCCACCGGCATGCCCAAGTCCCCGTTGGGGCCCGACATTTCGGGCTCCGGCGGCGCAGGGGCCGCGCGACGTTGGAAATCGGCGTCCGTCGTGCGGATAGCCGGCGCTGGGCGGAAGGTGGAAGCAGCTGATAGATCGTGGGGCCGGAAGAATGGAACGCGGCAGCGCACGGTGGCCGGGCGGCCGGGGCCCCGCCCCTGAAGCGCGAAGCTCACGGCCCGAGCTCCGCCTCCGCCCCGCCCCCGCCGCGCCGTCAGACTCCGCCCCCATGCCCTGGCTCCGCCCACGGCCCGCCCGCCGCGAGCGCATCCCTCTGCCCGCGGCTGGGCGGGGCGCTCCCTGGGCTGCCAGTCCGCCGAGAAGCCCAAGCGATGGAGGCTCGAGTCCGCGGCGAAGGTGAGCGAGCCCGAGCGAGCCCGGCAGAATGGCGGGGCAGCCTGAGACCACTACTCTGTCCCATTGTGGGCGAAATCAGACAAGCGGTTTTCGAGGCCTCCTGTAGCTTCGGGAAGGTCATGTTCACAGTACTCCTCCCACAGTCACGGTGCGGGGGGAGTCTACCTCCTGCTCTCCTCCCCCTACCCCAGCGGAGACGACCCACCACGCCTACCCGGTCCCGAGGGCCTCCCTGCTCTTCAGCGCTTCGCTTGGGGCTCTCAATGGGTACACCTGTGCGTGGGAATCAGACCTGACTCCAGCCCTAGACAACAGAAATTTTACCCAGAGCCCTATAAATGGAGAAAGGGAGAGGTGCGAGGCTTCCCCTAATCGGGGCTCTTCTGAAGCGCCCCCAGGACTCTGTTTCCAATACAGAACAGGTCACTCTCCTGTGGGTGCTGCAGGGGATTGTGAGTCTGTGTGCCAGGCTAGAGCTGCGTGTGACCATTCACAGAAACCTTCATGATAAGGTCGCCTAACTGCCATCATCCCCTGTCCCATGTACTGGTTAGGAAAAGGAGACCTGTACAAAGTTACCCAGTCAGCAACTGTGGCTCCTGGATTAGACCCAAAGGTGCGACTCTGGCCAAGGGTCTAGCTGAGAATCAAGCCCATGTCCTGGAGAGAGAAGCTCACTTACAGAGACTCCTGTAACTGTAGTGGCTAGGAGGCACCATGGGTGAAGCAGCCTGGTCCTGGTCTCACACTGGATGTTCCAGACTGCAGCATCCTCATCCTCATCCTCAGCGTAGAGGTCAGACCTAGGTGGGTGTCTCAGATGCAGATATTGGGAATCCTGTCCAGTCCCCAAAGCCACCCCCAGTTTCACCTGAGGGAGGTGGAAGGTGAGGTGGGTCCCGCATCCTGCTATAGGAGCCACCCACCTACTTGCCCTAGACAGTCCTGTCTTCCCCTTGAACCAGATTAAATGGCGGTGGGGGCCACTGCATTTCAGAGAAAGAAAGGTCTCGAGATCAGCTGACCTTCTTTACCTCAAAGTGAGGACCTCAGCAGAGACAGGGATTTGTTGATGCTACACTGCCTCTCTGAAGGAGGAAAGGGCCACAAGCCATGGAATGCAAGGAAGGCAGTTCTGGAAGCTGGAAAAAGAAGGAAGTGAATTCTTCCTCAGAGCCAGGGAGAGAGCACAGCTTTGCTGACACTGTTGCTTCTGCCTAGTGAAACTGATTGCAGACTTTGACCTCCAGAACTAGAAGAGAGTACATATGTGCTGGACTTTGTTTTTTTTCCCTTTAGTTTTTTTTAAGACAGGATCTCAATATGTAGCCCAGGCTGGCCTTGAACAAGCATGTGCCACTGTGCTTTAAGTGGAAATTTGTGGCAACTTGTTACAGTGGCAATAGGAAACACATATCTCCTCTGACCCAGGAACAAAGCCCCATTTGTGCCCTGAGAGTTTGACCCTGAAAGGCTCAACAGGAGCAGAGTACTATGGGAGGCTGCCTTGCTTGGGCCTAGGTAAGAAACTAGATCTGCTGCCCAAGTGGATCCCAAGGACCAGGTGTGTTGGGTGTCTGCCCTTGTTGGCCAGCAAGTGGTACTTTGTCCAGCAACCCCCAGTGCCCCTCAGCCTGGAGCCTTTCTGGGTTTGGACACAGCCCCCATCCCTCACTAGAAGCCCAGCCTGAGCTAACCTGGTCTCCTCCTGGAGTCGGGTCTAGACTTCCAACACCATTTGGTAAGCCAAATCTGATGCCTGTCCTGATGCCTGGGGGGCTGAGGCTGGGGCTGATCACCACTCAGGTATCTCCCCCTCCTCCAGCCAGAGTGAAGAGAGGAGTGTGTGCATCTGTGGAGTAAAAAGTCAGGGTTCCCTCAGGACCCCACCCACTCTGGCTGTTGAACTTGGAGGGAGAGGAGAGGTAAGAGAGAGTTTCTATGCATGATTCAGACCTGGAGAGCCTGTGGCCTGGCCAGTGGAGGGACAGAGGCTTATCAGGCCTTACATATGGCCAGTCGAGTGACAGGTACTGGCCTGGGACCTCAAGTCCTCTCCTAGGAGGCTGGATTCCTGGGAGCATTACCCTCACTTTCCCTCGCTCTGCTCCAGCTTCAGAATGAACCCTCAAGTGGTCTGGAGGTCATCCTTGAGGGGTAGGAGGAGGAGGAGGGACAGGGCTCTTAAGTGGGTCAATGTGAACTCTGTCCCCACGGCCGCCAACTAGGTGGGCAGAGGGGCAGGAGCCCAGTCCTGCCTTCCCTCTGCCTGGAACAATCTTAAAGCCAAGCTGGGCAGGCCTCTACCTCTCCCCACCACTGTGCCCCCTCCTGCCCTGGCCATGGTCTCCCAGCATCCACAGGGTCCTAGTGAGTTGGAGGTGGCTGCACTTTACACCCCCTCCAGCCCCCTCCAGATTCCCAGCCCTGGTGAGGCTGCTGCTTTGGGACCTGTTGCAGGTGGCCAAGTGTGAGCATGGGGTATAGCCTCATCAGTGCTTCCACTGGATCAGGCATCTCTCATAAGCCCAGGCTTGTGGAGGCTGCATCCCAGATGAGCTCAGGGTTGGGACTCCAGTGCCCAGTCAAAACAGGAGTGGGTATAGTGTCTGTCTGCCTGGGAGGAACTTGGGGCAGTTGGTGGCCACAGTGGTGGGGCAGGAGGAAGCTGGAGTCCTGGAGTCTTCTCCATGTGCCTCCTCTCTGTACTCTGCCAACAGGCTGGTTTGGGGGACTAAAGCCTGTGTGGGATGCACATGCGAGCCCACCCTTTACCTTTTCCCTCCCCATGGCCCTGGGGTCAAGAATCACAGACTCAGGGCTGGAGTAGTGGCTCAAGTGGTAGAGTGCCTGCCTAGCAAGTGCAACGCCTTGAGTTCAAAACCCAGTCCCGCCAGAAAAAAAAAAAAAAAAGAATCACAGACTCAGGGACCTGGAACATGTATTTATTTAGTAGAAAAGGGGGGATCCATCAGCAGGCAGGTTTCCAGGCAACTGGGTGGGCAGTGCACCATAAGGAGGATCTCCCTGGCATTATCACTAGAAATGGGCAGCTGGGGGCAACATGGGCGGAGGCATCAGGAAGGATGGGATGGAGAGACAGAAGGCACCTGAGAGGAGACAGAAAAACAAAGACCCTGCAGTTTGGGGGAGGGGGAAGAGCAAAGGCAAACCTGAGATCCCCAGGCCCCTACAACTTGGCTTCTTCCCATCAGCACCCTGCCCAGCCATACTTACTGCCTTTTTAGTTATCAATGCAGAAATGATCTGTGGAGGAGAAAGTCCATCAGTTCAGGTAGATCAGGACAGGTGTGTGTGTGTGTGATCCCTGGGCTTCCCCTGGGCTGCCTCAGGCCCAGCCTGTCCAGTTGCAGAAGATCTGGGGGTCCCTTAGGGCTGGGCAGCAGAGGGGCCCACGTGGGGCAGACGATGTAAAGATGGGCTACCCTGAGGGATGGGGCCTCATAGCTGCTCAGGCACCAGGCTTCCTGCCTGTTTACCCATGGAGCTCTCAGCAGGAGTGGTCTGGCTGGAACCCCCTGCTTAGGCCAAGCCAGGCCACTTGAAAGCAAGGACATCTTCCAAGTCAGAGATGAGCAAGTCCCAGAGGGAGGCCCAGGACAGCAAGGCCCAGGGTGTGGGGAGGAGGTGGTCCAGGTCAAGAGACCTAGAAAAACTTGGACATGGGCTTGAAATTCTCATCTGGGCGGACTCTGGCTAACCTGTCAGGGAAGAGCACTTGGGGCTGGGATCCCTGGGGGCCCACAGACCCTAGGGTGTGGCACAGTCGTCCTGAACCCAAAGTAGCTCTCAGAGGGAGCTATTGCCCCTCCAGTGTCTGGAACAGAGCACTGTGTCTCTCCTGTCCCTTCTCCCTGGTGGGGCAGCATCAGGCCTGGACAGTCCCCATAACCCCTTCTCCTCTCCCCAGCTGACCATTACCTGTGGGGACGGGGTAGAGGACGTGGTCATTAGTGAGGCCCAGCATATTGGCGAACTGGATGAAGCGCTCCTTCAGTTTAACGGGCAGATCCTTGGTTCTCCCTGCGATCAGGATGGCCGGTGAGTGGCCAACAGAAAGCATTCCATGAATATTGTTGGGCAAGTGAAGGAGACCTCAGACCCATTTCCCATGGAGTGTCTGTAGAAAGACCTCCCTGAGTGGAGCTCAGGCTCCACTCCAGCTGGAGCTGGAGAAGACCTTGGGTCTTAGGGTGATGAGGTTCCCCGCCCCCGAAAGTGCGAGCTGGGCCCCCAGGGATGGGGTCAGGACCCACCATAGAGGCTAGTCTTGAAGTAGTCTGTCTCTTTATTCTGCATTTTGGCAGTCTTCTTGAAGAACATGATTGCAAAATGGTTGTAATCGGTGGCTGTCACTCGCATGAGGTAGTTCTTGATATGTGGGAAATCTGGGTGTGAAGGGTGAGGGTCAGCCCTGCCCTGGATGGGAGGAAGGGGGGGGCTGTCCCCTTTCCCCTCAGCCTGTCAACCTGGGCTTCTCCCCACAGAGCAGCGTTTGTGTGAAGGGGCAGCCTGTGCTCCTTTACAAAGGACCCTGCCCCTGGCATCCGGACCGCATGGCCCCGCATCCAGTAGGACTCACTTTCAATATTGCCCATGGTGAACTCAGCAGGTTGGGAAACTGGAACAAATGCTCTTGTCCAGTAGGAGCAGGTCTGGTTGTCCCTATGAGAATGAGAGATGGGGTGAGCAGGCAGGTGGCTCAGGCATGGAGCCCCTGGAATTGACCAGGTGGGGTCAGGGCTGTGGCAGGAGGCCCAGTCCCACCCATCTTAGATGAGTCTGAGCTTTCCCCTCTGAGCCTGTCCTTGGCTGCTCCTGCCTGCTTTGATGAAGAAGCCTTCTTGACCTTCACAGACCCTCCCTCCAGCACCCGTTGTTCTTCCAGCTTCCTCCCCTAGATGGCCTTCTGCACGTGCAGCCTCCAGTCACTTATCCCTACTCTCACCTGGCTGCTCCCCCTTTACAGCCTCTCCTGGCCATCTGTACTTCCAACCTGCTCCATGTCAAGCATTCCCCAAGAATAGCTGGGATTGCAGATGTGAACCACCACACCCAGCTTGTTTTTTGATACAGGGTCTCCTTAACATTTTTTTTGTTTGCCCAGGTTGGTCTCAAGCTAGGAACTTTCCATCTCTGCCTACTGAGTAGCTAAGGCCTAGGCCTCTCCACCCTAGCCAGCCTCTCCATCAATTGTGTGTCCGTCCCCACTGCTGTCTCTGTGTGTCTCTGCTGAGTGACACCTTGAGGGAAGAAAGGAAGAGAGGGTGGAGGGAAGAAAAGATAGATTCAGTGGAGTCCTAAGATGAATGACAGCGTCCCTTAGCTTCAAGCACTCCTTAACCATGGTACTGGTCTGCCTCTCAGACCCTGGGGAGGTGGCAGCTTCACCTGATCAGGGTGTTGGTGACGTTGTAGCTGTGGCCTTCTGTCAGATGATAGGTGGTGGTGAACATATTAATGGAGCCTAGTTTTTTCTGAACTGCATTTCCTGCCAGGGCTATGATGTACCACTTTCCCTGAAACTGCAAGGAGCTGATGAGAGACAGATCCCAGGAATGGTCCCAGGAGCCACTCCCCCCCACCCCTCCACTCACTTTCCCACTCTGTTCCTGTGGACACCTCTGGGCAGCTTGACTGGGAACGAGGCGCCTCTTTAACTAGTAGCAGGGCCCAAGGCTAGCCCTGCCCTGAGGAGCCAGCAGGAACTGGGGGAGGGAGCCCTTGACAAGGAATTAGCCCTGATTTGGCAGGGATGGGGTGGCCCTGGGCAAGTGACTGGTGGTCCTCCCAAAGCCTCAGTTTCATCTCTGTGCAGAAGAACTGAAGATGTTCCCCCACCTTGCATGGACAATGGGAGTACAGGCATGGTGACCCTGAGATGAGGAAGGGATGATGGGGGATGGCTTCTGTCAGGTAACCCAGGTTCAGAATGAGCTGAAGCCTGAGCCCTGGACTCCCTGAGTCCAGCTCATCCTTCCCAAAGCTTCCCCTGAGATCCCCAGGACCTCCCTGTACCTGCCCCTCCAGGTCTCTTACCAGGTCTTCACGGAACTCAGCCTGCACAGGGACCAGATCTAGAGGTGGGAGTGGGATCAGGTCTGAACCTGAGCCATGAACCTGGGTCTGCAGGACTCCCAGTAGGGTGAGCCCCAGCCACAGGAGACACTGAGACATGATGTCAAGACAGCTGCTGGACCTGGCAGCAGTTGAAGGAGGAAGAGAAGGGAGTGAGGAGATCAGCTTGGAGGAACTATTTATGGGCTACCTGACTGCTGAGCCCCCCTTAGGGCGGGGTGATCCATTCTTTGCCAAATCCAGGAAGGGTGGAGGCAATTGTTAGCCACTCCTCCTGCTGAAACCCTTGACAAGATTTCTGCCCCTTTCTCTCTCCCCTCCACCCCCTCAGGATTGTGCAAGGTGGAGGGACAGGAAGGCCGGCAGGGAGGGAGGGGGAGAGAAGGGACATTCCCAGGCTCTGCAATTTGGTAGGGACAAGGGCTTCCTCTGTGCATTCTCTGTGTCACATTCCCTTCATCTGATTAGCCAGCCCCGTCTGTGACTCAGCAGCTCAGATCTGGTCAAGGTGTCCCCTCAGACCCGCAGGAGCCCCTGCTCATCACAAGCACAGGGTGGGGTATGTGTGGCAAGACCTCCCACACCTGCTGAAAACAAAGACTGTTCCAATTGACCCTGTGCTGTGTCCTTGTCAGGGAAGGCAGAGTGGCTGAATGGATGTTCTACACAGGAAGGATGGAGTATCTGTTCTGAGCCCATTGAGCCCAGAGCCTGGCCCTTGCAGGAGCCCCAGGCCAGGCCCTGAGACCAGGTCAGATGCCTACAAGTGCTGTACGCCTTGAGCCCTTCCTTTCCCCCAGGCCCTTACCCCTTCAGCAGCAACCCTTGGGAACTCAGCATCTTCTTTGAGTTCCGTGTGCACACAGGCACGTGGGCCCCAGGTGTGGCTGCCTTCAGAGCCAAGGGCTGAGGCTGCAGTCTGCTCACCATGGAGCCCTGGTAAGGGGACCATATGTGGTGAGATGTGAAGACAGACTCCACTCTGCTGTTCTGTATTCCAGTCACTTTGGGTCACAGGGAATGCAAGGGATTGGCTTTGGTCTTGAGAAGTCATTAAGACCATCCCTCTGTCTTTGGCCACAGCCTTGGATAGTAGAGCCCAATGGCCCAAAACTCCCTCAGATGCTGATCCCAACCTTGTTTCAGAGGAAAGCTGTTTTCCCACTGGGGGTCTGGACAGCATCCTTGGGAGGCAGTGATGGACCCTAGAACCCCCAAAATAGCTCACCTATTTATTGTCATAGGTGAGCCTCAGCTGTCCTGGCTTCCTGACCTGAGGCTACACTGAGGTTCCCCTGTCCTTACGCAGGTCTAAAAGGGCCCTCATTGGTTCTAGCCACACGTCACCTGGGCTCTGGGGCTCTGGGTCTCGAGGGAAAGAGCTTTGAAAGGGTTCTGACTGGAAGGTAGGGTGCAGCCTCACCCCTGTCATGCCACAGAAGACCCCACTGGACCCTGCCCCCTGCCCTGCCCTGCCCACCAGTGCAGATGATGAAAGGGCAGGATGGGAAGCTGGACAAAGCTGTGGGGACAATGTGACCACTGAGCCTGCCCCTCTGGAAGTGCCAGTGGCTTCCCTCCTAGCCTCCCCCTTCTCCCTCTGCTCACACCCTCTCTCAACCCTCGAGAATCCACCCCTGTGACTCTCTGTGACCTTAAAAGGTATCCTCCAGCCATCATCACGACCCTTGGATATGGGGAGACTGGTTGATGGAGCCCCAAAGAATTTTAAGTAGGGATCACAGAGGAGCCACTGGACAGAACATTCCAGAGACTCAAAGTCAGGAAGCTGAGTGACCAGTGCTCCCCAGGTGGGTCTCTGAGTAGGAACTGGGGCAGGTTGCTTGCTGGGTCTACAACATGAGAAGACCAGGACAGGGAGGCAAGTGGCCCAGCTCAGGACCCTGACCCAGCTTTGAAGATTGGCTCCTCCAGGTGGTGGCACATTTCTGTCTACTTCCCAGGCCCTCAGGGTCTTCTCTGCAGAGTTGCTCTGCAGACTATATGAGGCTGTGCAGCTACCAGACCTGAAGTGTCCCTATACTAGTTGCCTATGAGCCACTATCTTTTTGTTTGTTTGCTTTTTTCTAGGGACAGGGTCTCACTATGTAGTCCAGGCTGAGCTGGAACTCTCAATCTTCCTGCCCCACCTCCCAAGTGTTAGGATTGCAAGAGTGCCCCACCAAACCTGGTCTGCCTCTGGCCAAATCCTTGCAGGATTCTTCTCTGTGCACTGGCTCCAGGCCACTGGTTTCGACTCTCCCTCTTTATCCTTATCTCTTTGTTGGTCTTTGTCTCTGTTGACACCTGTCATACCCTCACCTTGCCTTGCCTGGCTTCCTCCTACCTTCCTTCTTGGCCAGCCCGGGGCAGTGAGAATCCAGTGAAGAGGATGAGGCTGTAGAGAGATTTGAGCCTTAGATGTGCTATGTCCCAGGCCAGGCCTCATTGAGGTTTGGGGGAAGGCCAGACAGTCATGGTCATAGCTGGGACAGAGGCCAGGCCAAGCTGTGGCCTGTCCCTGAGGCTGGTGTGGGGCTGGCTGGAGTTGGAGGGGTAGAGGACCAGCTGGGGGTGGTGGCAGCCTCCTGCCTTAGGAGGGGAGAACTCTCGCAGGCTGGGCTGGGCTCTTGTCAGCCTATAATTGCAGGCTGACAATTTCAAAATGCTCTGTCCACCCCTTTCAGAGTCCAGCATGGCTGAGGATGGGGATCACTCAACACATATACCCTCCTCACACCAGATGGGAGACCCAGTACTGGTGAAGTTGGGTGAGGACCAGTCTCTGTAGAGACTTGGGCCAACTCCAAGGTGCCAGGGTGGACAGGACCAGGACACTGGAGGCTCTACTCCCCACCCAGTCCACTCCCTTTCCACTGGACCTGGGCCCCTGGTCAAGAAGGAGACTCTAGGGTTCACACTGTTCAGAGCTGGGGTAGTCCCTGGGCCCTATGGCATTTTGAAAGGTCAACATCATGTGTGGCACCCTGTACATGGCAGATCAGGCACTCACCTGTCTCACATAGGCCCTACCTATGGTTTCTACTGTGGCCCTTGAGCCAGTCCTGCAGGGCCACCCCGCCAACTGCCCACACTTTCTCTCTAGGAGTTGCACGCAGCCATAGTGAGCCCTCAATAAGTCATAGAGATACTTTGGCCATGCCTCTCCTGGGAGAAGCCTAGGCTGGACTGCCCAAGTCCTGTTCTGAGTCCACATCTGTGTTTTCTGTGGCCAGAGGCCAGGATTCTGGCTGCCAGCATCATTCTGCTCTAATCAGAGAATTCCTAGTGGTTCTTTTATATTTTTTTATCATATTGTTGTACATTGTAAGGGTACATTGCAACAATTACAAAAGTGCTTACAATATATCTTCGTTAAACTCACCCCCTTCCCTGATGGTTCTTGCATTTCAGGAATCTAGTCTGACCCCCTGATCTGGTTTCCAGGAGCTGGTGAGCTGTGTTTAGCCTGGCATGAGTACTTGGGACCAACACAGCTTCCCAGGGTTGCCCTAGGAGGAGCCTTCAGGCAAGAGACCAAAAGAATGGGAGGCCAGGTCACAGCCCCAGAAGTTACCAGGGTGCACAGATGGGCCCTCGTCAGTAGTTGCAGGCTCTGGCTCCATTCAGGAGAAGGAAGGACTATTCAGACTGAGGTGCTTGCTCCCTGCAGGGGTTGAGTTCCCTGGATCTAGAAGCCGCTTTCCAGCCTTGTGTCCATCTCTCATACAGGCTCACCAGGGGTCCTCGAGGGTCTCCTGGCTCCTGCCTCTTCCACCTGATGGGAACCCTACCTGTGAGAAAACTCTGAAAGCCAGCCCCTCCCACACCTGCTAATGCACCTGCTGGATTCCCCTCTCTGGGAAGGAAGGTGTTAGGGTCTGCCAGACATGAGGCAACAGGCCCTGCTGCTTGAGTTTTGCACCTGGGCCGTCCCCTAGCTCTGGTCTTCAGGTGCCTAGCCCAGGCTGCCTCTTAGAGGGGGGCTCTTGTCTTTTGTTCCAGAGCCTAGGCACCCACAAAGGTAAGAGGTCCACAGTAACCGCAGGGACAAGGGACTGAGGCCACAGCTCTGAACAGGGTCTGTAGCTGACACCAGGCATCCAGGGGGTGGTGGCGGTGGCTGGGCCTCTGCTGGCTACCATTAAAGGGGGCTTGTATGAGAGGACAGGTCTGTCTCTCCCAAAAGGCTGGTTTCCCTTGTGCTCTGAGAGCCGGGACATGTCAGGAGAATGCTTAGCCCAGGGGCAGGGCGGTGGGTGTCAGAGTGTAAAAGGAGACCAAGTGTCTGTGATTATGTCCCTGGCTGCAGAAGCCTGGAGCAGGAACCTGAGGTCCCCTGGGTGCTCTGAGGGGACTGCAGACAGTTGGAAGGTCCAGTGCTCCTTGGCCCCAAGTGTGTATTTCAGATGGGCAGTGTGAGTGTGTGTGTTGGGGGGGGGATGTCAGCACATGAGCCAGTAAGGACCAGGCAGACTCTAAAGGGACAGCATGTGTAGCATATGTACCTTCCAAGAAGGAGCCAACCGGAATCAGCAGAGATGGGGTGAGGGGCAGGGAGGGTGGTGCGATGAGCAGAGCAGAATACAATGCTGAGAACAGACACCTGACTGCTATCCTTCAGGAGGCCAGACCAGGGGTCTGGAGGGAAGTGTGAGTTTCTGGGGACAGAGTTTAGTGGCCTAGACCTTGGGCTGGAGGGACTACCACCCCTGCCCCCTTCCCAAGGCTCTCAGAATCCCTCTCAGGAGTGGGACCCTGTGCATTGGTGTGATACGTGGACAGGCCAGAGGTCAGGGTGCAGCTGGGAGCCTTCTTCCAGGCCCAGAGCCTCTCAGGCATTAACCTCTCCCAGGGTCACTGTAGCCTCAAGTGTGTCCTCCTTAGTAGCTCAGCCTGGGTCTGCCAGGACTGGAGTGGCTCATGGCTCCCTGGTCTCTATCTACATCTCTGGCTCCCCTCTCCACACCCGACCCTACACTGCCGGGTCTTCCTGTTCCAGGCTACCTCTCATACTACTGGGTTCCCTAGATTCAGGCCACTTCCTCCTCACTTCCTGTGGCCCCCTGTCTTGGCCCTCCTCTTCCCCACATCCACAG